ATTCTATCTGGCATTCTATTTGGCATTCTATCTGGCATATCTTCTGGCATATCTTCTGACATTCTGTCTGACATTCTTTCTAACTTTCTTCTGCACATTCTTTGTCCCATATCTTCCTACATGAGGTCCGGCAGGGAACACTGGGCGTGGATGGTCGTGGTTGAGGTCCGGCAGGGAACACTGGGCGAGGATGGTCGTGGTTGAGGTCCGGCGGGGAACATTGGGCGTGGATGGTCGTGGTTGAGGTCCGGCAGGGAACCCTGGGCGTGGATGGTCGTGGTTGAGGTCCGGCAGGGAACACTGGGCGTGGATGGTCGTGGTTGAGGTCCGGCAGGGCACACTGACATGGATCGCAGTGGAGCAGGAGGAGGACGAGGAGGACGAGGAGGACGACGAGGAGGAGGAGAGGAGGAGGAGAGGAGGAGGAGAGGAGGACGAGGCAGGAGGAGGAGGAGGCAACTGACATAAAATCTAACAACCCTCACCTGGCAGGTGGGGAAATACAACGCCCATGACTGGGAATGGTAACCATAACACCTTTAAAAATGGTGATGACTGGGGGATGGTTTATGACATTGTTTTACCCACAGTATATGGCTGAATAGCTTGACATGATTTAACTTGTTTGGAAGGTTTAAGCATCGACAAACTGGTGGCTAAAAAACCAGCAAACATGGGGGGAGAATGGTGGTGCAAGTGCGTAACATTCAAATATTGAAATCATTTCGTGGACGTATTACCCTTTGGTTATTCAGCATAGCTATGGAACATTATTTACGGATGATTTATGATGATTTGGCAGTGTGTCAAAACCTTGTACCCCTGGTGAACATCAAAATAGCTGGTAAATGGATGTTCATCCCATTAAAAATGGTATTAATAGGTATTGATCCATACCCATTTACCGAAGAAAAACTGGTGATTGTCCATGGCTATGTAAAATTACTGGGGGGGGGCTTGATGGGACTGACATCGGAACATGTCTGGATCTCACCGAGGTGTCCAGCTAGAAAATCATCTAAAATCATCGATCAATGGATTGCTTTTAGGGAAAATCTCAACCGGAAACCATGGTTATTACCATCAAAAAGAAAGGGGGTTTTTTCCTGTACATTTTCCCATCATCCAATTCTATGAATCTATGGAGATTTCCCAGCCATGTCCAGCTCTCGCCTATTTTCACCTGTGCATTCCAGTTTTGATGCAGTGGATTTTTTTCCAGTATCATCCCGATGCAGTGCTTGGATTGAAAGAACAAGTCAAGGGACACGGGAAGAAAGCTTTCTGGAAAACATCTGGGGCATCATCTTCCATTTTTGGGAAACAATCTTTCCCCAATCCTCCAGCATAGTCCAGGTGGCCCTTCTTGCAGCGCAAAGTCAGAGACATGCTCTTCCAGATTTCCCACATATTCCCGATATGCCGCATACCTCAGGGCTGCTCCACACACCCCAGCTATGTTTGGGGGGTAAATGGTCTAATGAAAAGGGGAAATGGCTTGGAGCAGCCATGTACCTGCGACACATTTTCGCCAATGTCCGGGGGCTGGGCAAACATTTGGGGATGGGCCCGATATGGGTCAAATTGGGTACCCCCAGCATTTGGTAGTGAAGAGGACTTGGTAATTGGTTTCAAAATGGGTACCTCAATCGTTGCTGGTACTGAAACATGACCAATTAACTGTGATCCCCTAGGTCTGAAATGGTGACCAGCGTTTTTGAAGGCTCCGTCGCGGTACGGGATGGAATTGATTGGGTCAACAGGACAGAAACAAGGAGAAATTGCACCAAATGAAGGAAATTCAGCTCCTCATACCCCAAAAAAAAACTCGTGCCTCCCAAACAGTCTCAAAGCTGGGTATCTTAAAATGTTGCACCCTCCATCCCCATGGTTCATCTTACATCAACCAAAGATTGCCATTGGATGCTGAAATCCAAGGTCACCCAAGGCCAGCCAAGGCCACCCAAGGCCACCCCAGTGCCCCGAGCTACTGCTCATGCGTCTCACCCTGCTGAACCAGCTCCCGATGGTCTTGGTCGAACATCGGAAGGAACCTGGCCATTGGGAGCCGCAACTTGGTCGTCATAATTTCTCTCTCTCCATCGCCATCTCGGGAGATTGGTCGTAGGCATCTGAGATTTTTTAGGACTCTCTTTTGGCTGCACATCAATGTAGGATATTTTGGGGTGGTGCTGAATCCTTCATGTTTGTCGGTTTAACATGGTTTAATATGGTTTAATCATGTTTCATCTGCTTTTTGGGGGTCGGTTAGACCGTTGGACCTGTGAACTTTGAAGTGGAAGGCAAGCCACGCGACGCGACCACCTCACGAAGTTGGATTTGTATCACTGTAATATCACTGCTGTATATATTAACCAATATTAACATATATTAACCATAGATTCATGTTCAAATATCAGTCAATATCCAGAGTGTTACTCCGAGTTCCCCTCGTGGGCAAGGCGACTCGGTTCCCTGAAAGTGAATCTATGTGAATGTGGTAGTCCGAAATCCTGATTCTCAACTTGGCTTTGGTCAAAGTCATTTCAAAAACACGCCAGTTTTTTGTTCAGCCACAAGTGGTGGAGATCAATGGAGGCTGGAGACATCTCAAAAAAAATCCATGTCCCCTTCAGCACAGTGAACTCCCAAAATCGTCAATACAGGGTGCTAAGGTCACCTTGTTTGCCACAACTTCGCTGCTTGATGTTGGTGCCATCCACCAATTGCCATCGAATTGGTGGTCGATGATCTTCGATGAATTTCCCGCGAAACTAAGTAACACTATCTCAAACCATCCAGTTTTCATAGATGCTCGTGGATTTTCATTCACTTGGGTTTGGGTGTCCTTTTTCATACTTTCCCACGAAGAGACAGTCCCTAAAGGCGGCAAAAACTCATCTCGATGCGACCGGTCACCGTGCCTCTGGAAGAGGGGGTCCATGTCTTCGTTGAGCGTCTTCATGGCCTGGGGATGAGGTTTTTGAACCCAAAGATCTGCAGATTTTCAAGCGACAAAAACTTGGGATATCTTGGGATTTACATGGATTTACCATATTTTCCCCACCAAACACTGGGATTGGACAAGGCAAAGTTGGGAAAATATGGACTTCCCTGGATTTGTTGGGAAATCTACGGGACACCATGGTTTTTTTTCCCAATATAGGGTTTTATTATGGATCTGGATAAGTCATCATGAATCACGGTGTATTGAAATTAAAATTTTACGGATCTGAAATCTGAGTATGATTCCTCTTATTGACCATCATTCCAGTGACGTCACGAAGTGAGGTCGTTATTGTAATTGTAATCTATCCAGAACGGATTCATGTAAAGGGGAAAATCTACAGGAAAATATGAGTCCGTAAGATTCTTCACCCCCGAACGCCCTGGTTTCAAAGTTGGGGATTCAACCAACCCGCGTTTCGAGCACCCCCGTAATGAAGCCCAAAGGGCTGTCCTGCGAGATTTCTGGGATGCCCTTGAAGGCCAATTCTAAGGAAAACATACGGATAAACAATGATCAACCAGGTCAGGGGACTTTAGGTTCGTGGGGCTTTATGCTTTTTGGAACATCCCACACAAAAGTCTAGGAATCGATACCACAGACCTTCCACCACGATTTTTTTGCCCAAATGCGAAGGCGCAAAAACGATGGGCCAGAGTCTCTTGTGGTTCCTGACGGGTACCGGGTACCCTTCTGATCTTTGAGCTGCTTGGTAGCATTTTCAAGGGCTTCCCTTTGATGGGACTTCCATTCCCGTGGTAGTAGGATGGATGGCTTGTTGCCACTCGGTCCCATTTTGCGCATTTTTGGGGGCCCTTGAAAATGCTAGTCAGAACATGGGTCTATTGGTCTATCCAACCCCATTGCAGTATCTATGGGAGAAGCCCTGCACCGAAAAATCTGGATTCCAAAAGCAGAACAAAAACCCCAACCTGGTTATATAAACAGTATGTCGTCGAGACTTGGGGGGGAGTTCCAGTTAGAATAACCATGTTTATAGAGATCGAATATCCTAATTTATGGGAGTTAAAATCAGTGTTATATAAATTGTATAATAACACATATATATATATGTGTGTGTGTGTGTGACCCATGTATAATTTCAACTGCACCCCAAGTACTGGTTTTCTTGCTTGAGGCCAACCCCGGATTCAGCAACCCCAACTGAGTACGGGGGACTGTTACAAGGGAACACATGGAACACCCCTTTCAACCAAGGGTTGATTATCCGGTTTCCGATGCAGTACCCCGTGGTAAAATCACACTCTCTTAGCCTTACTGCTGCTGCTTACATCCTCGATCATGCTGGGATAAAAATCCAGCAGTACTAAGGTTTTTTTGGACGGTTTACAGGATAAATTCCATGCAAAAATCATATGTATTGTCATATGTTTGAGCTTTGGGATCAAACAAATAGCATATTAGAATATGTTAGATACGCAGCTGCACACGTGTGCATGATACATGAATTGCTAAAATATAATAAATAATAATATCACAAATGATAAGTATAATAATATATATACACGATATTATCTTCTGTTTTGTAAAATATATAGTATATAATTTAATATAGTATGATAAAATATAATATTATATTATTCGAGGAAGTGCATCTGACACACACACACACACGCATGTTATACACACACACCACACATATTCCAAGCATTCCCATATAATGTTTACAGTATCTCAAATAGAGCCAACCAGCTCTTGTTGCATCGCGGTCTCGCAGTTGCACCTCCTCATCGTCAGGTCCCGCCAAAGCGAACATCATGGATGATTTTCTGGATATCTATGATGGATAATGGTGGAAAATGTTCGTAGATAATGGTGGATGATACTCCTTTTGTTTACACATGATTTTCATGATACCTGTTTTTTATGTGGATAATTTAGATCATGGTACAGTTGTTTACTGGCAGTCCGGTGGATCATGGTCTATCCGTCCCGGGAGTTGACACTACCTGCACCCCCCTGCAGGATGACGCTTCTGTTTCCCTGTTTTCGGAGCCCTGAACATCACGACTGCCAAGGCGAAACAACAGAAAGTCGTTTAAGGAATACAATAATATGACCTAGATTGTTCCCCCAACTATAATGAATATAACATATATAATAATATAATAATATATAATATAATATAATATAATATAATATATAATATAATAATATATAATATAATATAATATAATATAATATAGTATTACCGGCGCAAGCAGACCATCACTTCTGGATTTGAAGTCACCACCCTACCATCACTTAGCTAATGGGCCCTTCTTGGGATTATTTCCGGACCACTAGCTCTAATGGGAGGGGATTAACCTACGGGGTCAGTCTCACCCTGCATCGCTGCATTATGTTGTCTATTTGGGATGGTAGTTGGGTACCAGAGTTTGGAACCACAGACACAAAAGGGTAAAACAATGCATGCATAGATTTCTTAAGTCTTTTGGAGGTTCTTCACTAGATTACAGTCTTGTTGATGACCATTGATGAAGGAAGACTTCTTCCTTCATCGGTCGCAAGACTCGAAGGGGTTTCTATGTGTTGCTCCAGAGTTTTGCCACATCATGCCACATCGCTTCTAATTTCCCAAACACCACGGTAAATCAGCATGGCAAAATGCAAACTGCAATGGGCCCCGGCGGTTTATGACGAGATCTTTTCCTATGCTTATGCTTCTGAGAGATGCTTCTGACAACCTCGCATCTCCATTTCGGTGTTGAAACATGTTTCTAGGATTTTGAAGTAGCCATCCCTTGTGGAAAGGGACATAGTAGCTTGTAGCAACTGAGTAACTAGCCTTAAGCAAACTAGATTTTACATTTTTTTTAACAAAAACACCCAGTGTGTTGATCATATGACCCAAATCATGTGATCCATACCGATGTGCCAAAACCGGCAGGAGCAACGAGGATAAGACCCATGCCTTTGCTTCCTCTTCCGGTGAGCCCAAGTTAATGCCCATCCGAACCATGGCGGCATCTTTGGGCATGGCTGCCGCGCCGCTGCACGTAGGGCTTCGGGCTGTAGATGAACAGCGCGCCCGTTGTGGGTGAACAGGTGTGACTTGAGTCCATCCGAGCTGAAGATGGTGAAGTATGTGAAGTCCATAGGGACATTCCTAGTATGAAATGTCTTTCTCTGGCAGCTCATAGGGTGATTTTCCCGCTTGCTATCTCGACGGTATCTCTAGATGGAAAGCTGAAACCATGCAGGATGGCAGCCTCGAAGCCTTCAAGTGTCGGCGGCACCCGATTGCAGCGTTTCATGGTCTTCAACTTCATCATGTTGAAACCATCCAGAGAATGGATGCCATGTAAACTAACATAATTATATAAACTGTTTGAGCGACCCAAAAGATCTGATTGTCAACCATGTGGCTATGGCTCAAAAGTCTTCAAAATCTTTTGTCCATGGCATTCCATGGTCCGTTTTCTTACGGGTGCTGATCGCATGGAATGGAGGAAGGGAACGACTATTACAGTAATGCTCACTAGGGTCTGGAGGTCATTCCCTACTTAGCACCAGTAAGTTTTTGGGACGATCTCCATCTAGAGCACGAGGTTTGAATGCCGCAAGTGGTCATCACCCACCGAAGTGTCACCGATTTGGTTTCTAAAAGTCACCAAAGCACTAATCTCATGACCTCTGTGTATCGTAAGCGTTTTTCGTTACTGTCCCACATGGCCATGGGTCAAAACATGTCAAAACCTACAGTACCATTTTGTGGATGATTTCCCCCTATTACAGCCTCGCGCGAACGCAAATTTCTTGGTTCCGACATGGAAGCTGTAGTGCATGGCAAGGGTGACACCGGTCTATAATAGTCGGGTACCTGGGAACAGCCGCATCCCTCAATTCAATTCCACTTCCCTTGCATTGCGCAGAGCTTCTTCTTCTTGCAGAAGCCTCTGACGCCTGAAGAAGAAAACAGCAACACCACCTATGAGGGCCAAGATGAGCAAGATCAAGATCACAGTCCCAGCACCCATTCCTCCTTGGCGCAGGTGTTGGCACCGGTGTTGGCGCAGGTGTTGGCACCGGTGTTGGCGCTGGTGTTGGCGCCGGTGCTGGTGCGGGTGTTGGCGCTGGTGTTGGTGCCGGTGTTGGTGCCGGTGTTGGCGCTGGTGTTGGCGCTGGTGTTGGCGCCGGTGTTGGCGCTGGTGGGGCTGGAGTTGGTTCCGGGGTTGTGGACGAACTTGTGGGTGGCTGCACCACATGGACAGGTTGCATACCTGTCCAAGCTTCGAGAACAGGAGGATCTTGAGGAGGCCTGGGCTCACGAGTTGCATTCATGCCAAAGCACTCCCCTGAGTTGAACTTGATCTTTGCGGTGCAATAGTGATACAACGTCTTGTTCGAGTCCTTCCATCTGAATTGGGCTTGCACCATTTCATGGATTTTGCCATCTTCTGGGGTGTATGTGCTGTAAAAACACAGCGCCATGTACATAAAATTTCGGTTCCACAAATAGTCGTATTGCCAGGCTTCCACTGTGAAATCTCCACCGCATGCGTTTGGGAACTCTTTCACATTGCTTTTACACTGCAGAAGGGTTTCATGCTCGGAGAACCGAAACTTCTTGGGATCAAACTGGAAGTCGGCCTGGGCGGAATCTGGGGGCGAAACAAGCACCTGATGCACCCCCTCTGCAACATCTGAAACGATCATGGGACTCAAGGCATATAGCGTTTTCCGTGGCAAATCCCATTGTGCATTCTTCCATGAAGCAACTGGTTTGGTTTTCGATAAGCTGCAACTCACATTTTCCAGCCGTGGCTGCTCCAAGCATGTTGAGCACCAGGAGCCCCAGAAACATGGTTTCCACTTTGGGACGCAGAAATGAGCAACGGTCGTTAGCGAACATGTTGAGATAAGATGTCTGAGCCAACTGCGGTGTGACAAACATGAGTTCCGATTGCACAATCTCATTGAATGCAACATGACTTGCAATCTGTGTGCAGCGTTGTCAGCTGAAGAAGAAGAACTCAATATTTTTCTCCTGGCTATTGCCTCGCTATCCCAACGGTTCTGGTCGACCAAAAGGAAACAAACCACAACAAAAAAACAAATCATATTATGAATTCATGTGAAATGTCTGTCATCCCTGCGCAATGCTGAACTGATGACCGGACCAAATTGGACCCAGCACATCAGCTTGCCCAGCCCAATGTGCCTCCCACCCAGCAGGCCGCAGCAAATGCCCTTCTTTTTTGAGATCTTCTCACCCGACAGTCAGCCACCGTAACTTGCCACGTTGCGATTCACTGGTCAGCTTTGAAGTTCTTTGCCTGAAACGCACAGGTGCACCACTATGGGGAGCAAGGTATCTTCCAACCAAAACATATCCCGAGTGGCATTCCTGACAGTTCTTGATGATTCATGGTGGTTCCTGATATCTTTTGATATCTTTTAGTGCTCCATGTATCTACCTGTCCACTTAAGTTAGGCTTATCAGCGATCTAAGTTCCAGTCTGGACGTCAACGTCCAAGTTTCTAGGACCTGAACCTGCAGTTTAGGCTTACGCCACAACAACCGAATCAACCACCCAAATCAGCTGTCTCAGTCTGTGAATGCCAGCCCCGGAAGAGGAACATCACTGGCTCCAACCCGCGGGGACGCGGGTCGCAAATTTTCCAAGGAATTCATGGGAACACTCAGCGGGTGTCCAGGACCACCTTCCCTTCCGCTGGTCTGATAGGTTTGACGATTCGCTTCGGGCAGCAAGCACTACGTAGATTTTCAGACCGATCCGGCTATGACCAACTCAGCATGTGAAGTTATATAGAAATACGGTAACGAATCATAGCTATGGCCAATCATGAGTGGTATTAGCCGGATAAGAATGAATATTAATGTAAAATAGTAAAATAGCGTAACTACACTTGAAAACAACACACCTGACCTCACCAAAAGAGAAGAGAAATTGGACCTCTGTACAATAGGGCGCGGCGACAAGAGAATTCAGCGCTAGGCCTCTGACTCCTCCTCTGCGTTTTGCGCCACTTTGGCACAAAAGAGGATGCGGAGCACCTGAGCACCGTTGAAATTCATGAGATCGATGGGACCTCGAAGAAGTCTATGCATGCGAGCTCCATTTGCAGCCATGCCAAGTGCTCAAGAGATTCTGATATCCGTTACGTTTTTCTGAGGCACTTCTTGTCGACATGTTTGTACATTTGAAGCCTAAGGGTCAGATGATTCAATCCTCAGTGTTTTCCATCTTGGTTACTGTAATTCCACATTAACGAGCATGCAATCAAACATCGTCAACCATTGAACTGGTCCACAGTCTGTGCAACAAAATCCACAAAAGTCTGTGTCACGGCAAACGGTGGCAAAAATCATGAACTACATCCTGAAGCACTGAACAGGGGCCAACACACCAACTATGTGCTGTAGAAATGAATGCCTGCTACAAGTATGATTGCCGGGTTTTTCCCTACACTGTAGCATCAGTGCACAGTGATTTCTTACCATACTATACTGCAATCAGGATGGATTATATATTGATTTGTTTATGATTTGTCCAGAATTAGGCAACCCCAAAATCCAATGATGCATCACGATTTCTCTCGCAGCAACCGCCGGAGAGGGGGAAATACCAAAGTAGAGTGAAATCAAATTCCAAAAACGGTGATACATTTTGATAGATGTAATTATTACATCTTAATATAATGTGTATAATATAAAAAGTTCCCCATGAGCAATGCAATTTTGGGGCTGCACCGAAAATGTTTATGCCGTCCAAAGGGCTCCGAACAGCTGTCGCGCTAAGGGAAACAGCAGTTCTCAGCGCCCCACACCACTGATCCTCGTCGCAGGCTGGGTCGTTTCATACATCCTATCCCCTACACGAGTAATTTGGGAAACCCAATGCCATAAACTCCATAAACCATTCCCAATAATATATAAATATATATATATACAAGTAGTACCGCACAAGGCGGTAACGGAAGTTTCAAAAATAGGAAACCTATAGGAGAGGTTGGTTGTTGTGAATCACGGATGGCAGGGCGAAGCCACTCATGGATCGAAAGGTGATTGATGTCTCCTCTCTTTCTGTCTCTTTCTCTGACTATCTACCTACCTACCCACCTATCTATCTATGTGTCCATCTCTCTCTCTCTCTGTCTGTCTGTCTATCTATCTATCTATCTATCTACCTATCTACCCATCTATCTATCTGTCTATCTATCTATCTATCTATCCTATCTATCCTATCTATCCTATCTATCCTATCTATCCTATCTATCCTATCTATCCTATCTATCTATCCTATCTATCCTATCTATCCTATCTATCTATCTATCTATCTATCCGATCTATCCGATCTATCCTATCCTATCCTATCCTATCCATCCATCTATCTATCTATCTATCCGATCTATCCGATCTATCCGATCTATCCTATCTATCCTATCTATCCTATCTATCCGATCTATCCGATCTATCCGATCTATCCTATCTATCCTATCTATCCTATCTATCCTATCTATCCTATCTATCCTATCTATCCTATCTATCCTATCTATCCTGACTATCCTATCTATCCTATCTATCCTATCCTATCCTATCCTATCCTATCCTATCCTATCTATCTATCTATCTATCTATCCGATCTATCCGATCTATCCGATCTATCCGATCTATCCTATCTATCCTATCTATCCTATCTATCCTATCTATCCTATCTATCTTATTATCTTATCTTATCTAATCTATTCTAATCTAATCTATCTATCTATCTACCTGTCTATCTGCAAGCTTGAAAACGAAGCTATTCTGCGAGACTTCTTCATTTTTCAAAGTTGACAACATCAAAAACGAAGCAATTCTGCGAGACTTCCTCAATGTTTGAACTTGACAACGTCAAAAACCAAGCAATTCTGCGAGACTTCTTCATTTTTCAAAGTTGACAACATCAAAAACGAAGCAATTCTGCGAGACTTCCTCAATGTTTGAACTTGACAACGTCAAAAACCAAGCAATTCTGCGAGACTTCTTCATTTTTCAAAGTTGACAACATCAAAAACGAAGCAATTCTGCGAGACTTCCTTCAAAAATGGAAAGTTGCGTGCAGCGCTGACGGCCTCGTACCAATGCGTTTTGCGATTTTTCCACTCCACCTGTCTAAAGCACTGCGCCTGCCACGAAAAAGTGAAGCCAGGTCATACGAAGTGCTGCACCTGTCACGCAAAATCATCTCAGCAAACCTGAAGATCTCAGGCTCCGAGGTGCAACCCTTCTCAGGAAATCAGCGCCCGGACCTCCTAACATCTCTGATGAACATGTCTTTTGTACTGCGCCTGCCACGCGAAATGCATCTTTGAAGATCCTCTTCAAATGTCCCATGCCTGCCATCGTTTTTGGAAATGCTACAAAACCCTCACGTTTTGCTCACTTTTGACAAGGTGCACAATCCCTTGCGGCTGCCATGCAAAACGACGCCTGAACGTCCAAAAGTGGCGCGAACATGTGGTGTTTTTCACATGTTGACTTCGAAATGTGCTTCGCGCCACAACGGCGTGCACTTTTTCGACCTCGCAACTTCCAAAAGTGGTCCGGAGCTGGTGTGTTTTGTTCATTTTGACTTCGAAATGTGCTTCGCGCCACAACGGCGTGCACTTTTTCGAAATCGCAACTTCCAAAAAGTGGTCCGAGAATGGTGTGTTTTGTACATTTTGACTTCGAAATGTGCTTCGCGCCACAACGGCGTGCAATTTTTCATCTCTCATCTGGCCGGCTGGCTCCGCACCCGCCGCTTTAGCGAGCCTACTTTTCGATCCTCAGGAGCTACAAATCATTGGAAAAACACAGTGTTTCGCGACTTTCCTACCTTTTCGCACACCTGCATCTTCTCTTTTCTGCTCTTCTCTCTTCTACTCTTCTCTTCTCTCTGACCCTTTCCATCTCTGCTTTTCATCTGTCCATATTGTCGGAAGTTTGACTTCTAAACTTCCTTCGATCAAATGACATCCTCAGAGCTTTGAAGCAAATCACCCAACCTCAGCTCTGCAAGGCTCAGATGTTCACCGCTGGCTCCGTAAGAGCTGCGCTACGAAGGCCTTCCCTGGGCCAGCACCATGGATGAAGCATTGTACCAGACCTGTCTGGAGGTTGTAGATCCCATTCCTCACAGGGTTCCCCCAGCATCAAACCAGTTGGGGCTTCCCGTAACTTTCTTCAACTTTTGGATGGTTTATGATGGCTTATTAATGCAAATATTAATGCAAATATCTCTAGAATTAATGGGGTTCATAGACCAAAATTTGTCAATACATGTCAATACATCTGTAGTCTTGTGGCCTGTAGTTTTTAAGCAAAGTTGTTTAAAAAGATCGAATTAATTTGGGAATACGGAATATGTGTTTTTCACTGGGGTACCCCATTCCACCATCCCTGGCATAATGGCCATAAGTTGGGGATACACCATGGTATACCCCAATGTTCACAGGGCGGCCCAGACCTCTGCTAAGCAGATTCCTGGGGTGGGCTGTTCGTTGATACAATTCCATTCGAGGAGGTTGACAGAGTGATTTGATTTCTCTTTTTAGTGGAAAGCATGGTTTTTGTTCAACCAAAAATAATTATAGCCTGGTAATTTATAGGGGGTCCTGTGACTCTTGTCCCTTGAACAATTCCGGCATTGATGATAGATCTAAATAATTCTAAATAGATACTTGAAACCGCCAACCAGTTGCAAAGGCTGGGCCCAGTCCTTGTTGACTATAGCCTCGGAGTAAAAATACAGTAGCATGCGGGTTTATATATACCAGTTATATAGCATGTGGACAAAGGCCCTTCCACCAAGAATCTTTGGCTAGCAGCATGTATTTTGAAGCGTCACCTATTTAAGCAAAGAGTCTCTCGAATGCTGAACACCTCTGGTATTGCAGATTCGGGAATGTTCCCCACGGTCAGCACCAGTGCACCGCTGTAGTCCAGTGTCATGAAAGGCAAAAATGGCCGATCTGAGTGCTGAAGAAACAGGTCACCTTGGAAACGAGAATCCGACGGATTCTAATCGGTTTCTACATCGGTTAACTGTCAACTGAACTACTTGGATGTGGATCCCAGTAGGGGGGTTCTTTTTTTATTTGAAAGTAATATGTTATAATATAGATTAATATAGTAAAGCATATGAATATGTTGGATATCCTCATGCTCGTTCGGCGTTACAAGACTCGCTAAACCATCTATTTTTTGTTGACTTCTTATAAAGACTGATTAGCCCAAGAATGAAAAAACACTGGATATCTAGGCGCTTTCTCATGGAGCCTTTCAAGCATTTCACTAGGTGGGTGGAATGCCACGCCCTTTCGCTGTACGCCACAGGGTTTCCAACTTACCATTGCACCAAATCTTCTACAGGCGAAATTAGGATCAATGAAACACAACTTGCAAACAAAGCACATGTCTTTAATTACACGTTTTTCATACAGTCGAGGGCTTTAGTCGCTTCCCAAGACTTTGAGGGATTGTCGGACTAATGCACCATTTTAAGTCTGCAGCAAAAGTTGTATACAGCAACTCTCGAACAAATATTTAATTAGTAAAAATATGCTACAGTAAGAATACTGGTAAATTATGGTAAATTGCTGTTTTATCTTTTTCGGGTTGCTATGACATGCTATGACGAGCTGCCAAGCTTCGAGGAACCCAGCTATGACTAAGTCACCATGTCTACCCATCCATCAATCCATCAATCACTAATGTCAACATATGCCAACCACATTTTTGTTGGTCTAATTTAGGGCCACAAAAATAGTATATAAGGTCGCAAATGATCACTGAGTCCTCCCAATTCATGGTAGATCAGTGCCAGGCCGCGCGCGACCAGCTGGTCTGTCTCCGAGTGATTACTATACAGCTTCAACCAGGCGCTAACGCTTTGGAGCCTCGCTTGGTGGTGGGTTTGCTGCTGGAATGCCATGGGAAGTGGTTGTAGTTCAACCATTCAAAAATTAAAATGATGATTTAATGACATATTATGTATGATTTATATGATATTTCATGAGGATTTCATCGGATATTAAAATGATATTACGGTATAAAATGATGGGATTATTATCAGTAACGGACTCACTCATCATTGGTCGAATTTGCTTGGGAAGCTCAATTCCTAGCTCCAACTGGTTCCCCATTTCTTGTTGGGAAAGCCTGGATACCCCAAACGCTCTGAACCGCTCCCCCAGTTATGGATAGTTCAGGGTGCCCAAAAAGCGGTAGGATCACCCAAAACAAAAGAGCCCCATGATGCCCCATGGATGGGTCTTGAAAGACCTAAATGATCCGAAAAATGTGAAGCTTACCCGTTTTAATAAGAGTGTTGCAGCAGTTTAGGACCTTAGGATGGCACCATTCTTGGGGGCCACATGGTGCCACACTTTCCCGTGGACAACCCGTGAACATGGGCCCGTCAGAGGGACACAGATATCAAGTGCGTGAGAATGACCGATCTGAGTTGTCTTGATGGCACCAAAACATGACAGTAAAACAGCAAACACATTCAATTCCGATGCTATTGTATTTTAAGTTTAAAAGTTTCCAATTTTACAGGTTAAGACATATCAATGACCTATCTTGAACAGGACGAAAGGTCGGAGCCCAGGCATCCCATGCTTTGATCGTTTGATCAAAAAAAAACGAAATTTGCCATATCCACTATCCATGTGGGTGTGTCATATGGCACCCTAAGACCTACAATTAATCTACAATATCTACAATTAATGGTTATTAATGGTTGTCACCGCTCATTATCCTCATGGTCAAACATTAATATCATTCATTGTGTCCAGTTTGATCACTTTTGACGCCAAAAGAGTCCACCACAGTATGGTCCAGCATGGTCGCTTTCAAGGGGCACGTGCTCTGCGCGGCCCATGAGAAATCCGCTGTTCAGGTGTTGATACGCCGGTGGCGAGGAGCAAAATGAGTCGTAGCCTACAAAAATCCATTCAGCGTCTCAGCGTCTCAGGAAATTGACGAGAAAACTCAAAGAAAAATGAGGCCCCGGGATATGGATGCATGGATGATTTTTGGCACGTGAATTTCTGGAGATGTTTTGGGGTACCAGCCGTTGACCTTCATACTTTACATACAGCACATTTGATTCTGCAAGTCCCAGGGCACCAATCCGGTTTGATAGTGAAGTCGCAACATGTTTCCTCCGTAGCCGTGTTAGGAATGCTGTATCCCCAGCCCAGCTATACATCGAAAACCCTTGGTTACCCTCTGGTAATGACTGACATAGCTATTGAAAATGGTGATTTATAGTGGATTTTCCCATTGAAAATGGTGATTTTCCATAGCTATGTTAGTTTACCAGAGGGTACCTGGATTGTAAACCACTTGCACTTATTGGGACGCACATCCAGGGGTGATTTCATCATGTTCAATATTGGTGTCTAAATGTGTCTAAAAACCCGGGCGCACAAAAATCCAACGGTGTATCATGTTCCGCGACTTGAAATGGCCGTCAACTGTCACTTTTGACCATAGTTGCACAACGTCAGAAATGCTTACAGACCCAAATTGTGGATATTCCATCTATCTTTCATCTCATATCATATAACTGTCATAAATCTATCCTTCCTTCTATTTTCCCTGGTGAAAAATCACCATTTTCCCTGGTTTCTATAACTTATAACTGCTATATCCAGATTTGCTATCCGGACTAACATGGTCATGGACTGATCCTTGGCGCCTGGAAGGTCCAAGTCGCGGCAGCGGCGACAATCTCCCAGCTTCTCCTAGGCAGCGAGGGGCGACTGGTGACATCAGGATCTACCCTCTGGTAAACGTTTACATAACTATGGAAAATCACCATTTTTTATGGGAAAAATCACGAACTAAATGGTGATTTTCAATAGCTATGTTAAATTACCAGAGGGTATGGTCAGAAATAAAATGGAAGTAAAGTCAGAACATACTGTGGATGGGCCAGCGAAATCCTGCACCAGTTGATAAGTGGTTTATTCCATTATTTTGTTGGGGTTGAAAAAACCATACAAGGTGATGCAGGATTTCTTCCATCCACAGTATTTCAATCTTATACGAAATACAAGAAATAGAACTATGTACATCATGATCTGTTGTAGATATAGAGATTATATGAAAATATATTCTAGATTCTGCAATCTTGTACGTTCACTATACCATGCTATATTAATTATTAGTCTGCTGCTATCATAATATTCATATCCATGCATCATGTGTTAAGCGTTTTTAGTCACAGTCAGTTCGTGATCTAATTTAATTTCTTTGGAATCTGGCAAACAAAGGTGAGACGTTCCCAACAACAATAATCGGATCAAGGTGTTGGTAGGCCAATCGGATCAAGGATGTCATATTCACGCCTAAACGATGGGCCAAGAAGCAAAGGCCTCTTTCATTCCGAATTCTTGCAGAACGGCTTGACGCCGAGCCGTCAAGTGCATGTACCTGTTGAGATGACACTGGCCGGATTGGAGTGGGGTTTAGACAAACACAATATCCTGAGGCACTGAACAGGGGCCAACACACCAACTATGTGCTGTGGAAATGAATGCCTGCTACAAGTATGATTGCCGGGTTTTTCCCTACACTGTAGCATCAGTGCACAGTGATTTCTTACCATACTTTACTGCAATCAGGATGCATTATATATATATATATTGAATTTCTCATGATTTGTCCAGAAATAGGCAACCCCAAAATCAAATGATGCATCACGATTTATCTTGCAGCAACCCCCAGAAAGGGGGAAATACCAAAGTAGAATGAAATCAAATTCCAAAAATGGTGATAGATTTTAATAGATGTTATATAATGTGTATAATATATCATGTTCCCCATGAGCAAATGTTTATGCCGTCCAAGGAGCTCCGAACAGCTGTCGCGCCAAGGGAAACAGCAGTTCTCAGCGCCCCAAACCACTGATCCTCGTCGCAGGCTGGGTCGCTTCATTCATCCTATCCCCTACACAAGAAGGACTGTAATATGGGAAACCCAATGCCATAAACCCCATAAACCATCCCCAATAATATATCATATGACATCCTCAAATTGGTGGTTTAGGGCTTCGGGTTTGCCATAGTATCAATGTCGATTCAAGATGATCAATCCCAATTGGGATGAAAATTTTGACAAATATCTCACTTCTATCTATCTATCTATCTATCATTCTATTCTATTCTATTCTATTCTATCTATCTATCTATCTATCTATCTATCTATCTATTCTATCTATCCGTTCTATATCTATCCATCCTATCTATCCATTCTATCTATCCTATCTACCCTATCTATCCTATCTACCCTATCTATCCTATCTACCCTATCTATCCTATCTACCCTATCTATCCTATCCATCCTATCTATCCTATCCATCCAATCTAATCTATCTAATCTATCTAATCTATCTAATCTATCAAATCAAATCTATCTATATGTCTATCCTATCTAAATATCTATCTATCTGTCTGTCTGTCTATCTATCTATTCTATTCTTTTCTTTTCTTTTCTATTCTATTCTATTCTATCTATCTATCTATCATTGTACGTTAGTATTTGTACATATATGTCATTATTGTATCAAAAAGTTGCTATCAGCTATCAATGTCCCAGGTATGGATGGAAAGTGACACGCGGCTTTTGGGGTAATCTCAGCCCCGGATGAAGATCTACCCTGGCTAATTAAATACCCGGGTAGCCCCCACATGGTGACGTGATTTGCTACTTCAATGACTAAACAGCCTGGGGACTTTCTGTATTGATCCGGGGCTGACAGTGCCCTATTGTCAAACCATAGTCACTGCGTCCGAGTATCGCTCCTCCCCGCCCGCAGCGGACACTGTGCGGTTGAAGAACTCTAGAAGCCTCTGGCGGCTCCCTGGCTCAAGGCCAGCTGCAAATATACCAACAAAAATGGTAAGTTCTACATCCCAATTGTTCTGATTACACATTTTGTCCGCAACCTTAACGTTCGCCCAGACTCATGACTGTGACAGAACAATAGGGATCAAAATTCGCCACCACCTCAGAACAATATGTTGAATGGGATAATAACATCAACTTTATCTTCATGAGGGATCAAAATTCGCCACCACCTCAGAACAATATGTTGATTGGGGAAATAACATCAACTTTATCTTCATGAGGGATCAAAATTCGCCACCACCTCAAGAACAACATGTTGATTGGGGAAATAACATCAACTTTATCTTCATGAGGGATTACAGTAAAATTTGCCACCCCCTATGACCAATGTTGAATGGGGTAATAACATCAACTTTATCTTCATGAGGGATCAAAATTTGCCACCCCCTATGACCAATATTTTGAATGGGGTAATAACATCAACTTTATCTTCATGAGGGATCAAAATCAGGAAGGCGGGACATCAACTCCGGGCAAACGTCCAGGTTGCAGCGTACATGTTTTGTTGCATCCCTATGTTCTTTTAATGAATGAACCATCTCGATCCCAGTATGATTTCTTGCCCTTAATCCCTTCCAATATTGAAAGTATATTATATAAACATCCCCCACAAACAATGGTTTCTCTCTCTCTCTTCTTAATCTAGTCAGTTCAGTATTTCTCTCTATTTATGTTGCGTCGCTTTTTGATTGGATCTGTTTTAATCCGTTTTTTGGGTATTTTTTCGTTTATCAATCCTATTGTTTCTATATTGTTTCAAATGTTTTTAGTTTCTCTGATTTCAACTAGGTGCCTGGAATAGGCAAACATACAATTTTAGTATTGGGATGACTGGATCTCATTCATCTATAGTATCTATAGTATTCTCTCAATTCATTTACTGTAAAATGTTAGTATTGGATCTACCCTCTGGGTAAACTAATCTAACATAACTGCGGAAAATTTAAAATCACCATTTTATAGCTGGGTAAATCCACATAATCCATCATAATCCACTATTTCTATGCCATGTTCGATAGCTTTTTGATGTTTTTTGGTATGTTTACCAGGCCGGGTATAGCTGCCATCGGAGAGGGATGGCTGCTGGCCGCGCAGCTTCTCCTCCGAACAGCCTCCGAAGATCGTGTCGAAACCATCCACCAGAACCACCTGGCGGCCGTTCAAAGAATGGATGTTTGAAGCAGCTGAATATACCAATATCCGATGGCATAATGGTTGTATGCAGGAAATATATAGATGATTATAGATATATAGTGTCATAGATGTACATAGTCATCATAAGTTGGTTCAGAATTGTGGTAAAACTATGGCAAAATCATCTAACCAGGAGTTGGATGGATGGTGGGCCACTGGGTACTTATGCAGTTTAATATAGTTTAATGGTTTTATGAACCAATCTACAAGCTACAAAATGCAAAAAAAGGCGCTGCCAGAACTCTTTAGCGCAGTCTGGCGGCCCAACGCCCTGGATTTTCCACTGCGAACTTCTTTAGGAACTTGTAATACCTTACTGGCTGATGGCATCTGATGGCAAACCACATCGCAATCAAAACTGTGCTCTTCATGGACGGGTTGGCTTGCGTCGAAACTTCCCAAAAGGCCCAAAGATGCCAAAGGTATCCAAAACGTACCTCAAATACTAAAAACTAGGGTCCGCGTTAATTTTTGGGAAATGTCAAACTGGCCAATTTGATGTTTAATTGATCCCCTTTCGAAAACAAATTAAACATGAATCCCCAATAATAAAAACTAGTCAACCCCAGGGTGGTTTTTATCAGGGTACGTCTTTTAAGATCCAAAAAAAGAAGTATTTTATGCATTCGTGTTTTCACTTTAATATTCGGGGAAAGCTTCGGAATCCAATTTTTGGCAATATTTTAAGTATAGATCTTAAAAGGAAATCTAATCGATTTTGAAACAGGAAATTTTAGTTTTTTATATTAGGGTCGTTAACTCATTAGGAGGAAGCTTCGCACCCTAATACTAAATACCCCCTAATACTAAAACCTTCTCCAGGTGTTTATTATTTGGGGGAGGGGGTTTAGTAATAGGGGGAAGGGATTATATATACTTGAGGCCGGGGGTGGATGACGAAAGCTAGCGGGGTAGGAGAAAGAAGGAAGGGAAGAGGTGAGTTGCGGAGGGACTGTCATCATCGTGTCGCGGCATTGTTCGTCCCAACGAGGATGCAACAATGATATATTGATATATGATATATAACAATGATATATATGGGGGAGGGGGCAGGGGGGGGCCCTTTCGCGGGAAAAATCACGTGATGTCCTTGGGGAGCCCCGGAATACGTGCTAAAGCAAGAAGACTCTAGCGAGCTGACGCTAGCTTTCGTGATAATGACAATAATTGCCAATAATGATAAAATGTAATTGAATAACGATGATGATGATGATGATGATGATGATGAATGATGAATGATGAATGATGAATGAATGATGATGATGAATGATGAATGATGAATGATGAATGATGAATGATGAATGATGATGATGATGATGATGATGATGATGATGATGATGATGATGATGATGATGATGATGATGATGATGCTGATGATGATGATGATGATGATGATGATGATGATGATGACGAGGACGCGGACGAGGACGAGGACGATGGAGAGGACGATGACGATGATGATGACGATGATGATGATGATGATGACGACGAGGATGATGACGAGGACGAGGACGACGATGATGATGATGATGATGATGACGAGGGACGCGGACGAGGACGAGGACGATGGAGAGGACGATGACGATGATGATGACGATGATGATGACGATGATGATGACGATGATGATGACGATGATGATGATGATGATGATGGTGGTGATGGTGGTGGTGGTGGTGGGGGAGGGGGGGGGGCCCTTTCGCGTGAAAAATCACGTGATGTCCTTGAGCAGCCCCCCCAATACTTGCTAAAGCAAGAAGACTCCAGCTAGCTGACGCTTTCGTGACAAAAACACGCTGCCGGAGTGGCATCCTGAAGGGTTTTGCAGCTAGGGTATGTTGGCCTTTTGATGCAACAGGACTACAGCAAACAGAACTGACCGTAGCAAGCCCACTCATTACGCACTTGCTGACCGTTGATGTTTGGGTTGTCACTGGTCCCATCTGGGCTTCGTAAATCATCGCAAATGGTGAAGTCATGTTGCACTATCACAAGTAGGGGCATGCCCAATCTCAACCCTAAACCCCTACTATCCCCATGGGTTCTTTTCTATCCCATAAACATGTCCCATAGGGAACCCACTCTGGATCCTTATCCCTGGCTCGATACTCGGCGAGTACCAAAGTACAGTCGTGGCTTGTCGCGCCAGGAGTGCCAGTCCTGAATTTCAGTTGTGACCCGTTTGCCGTCCGTTCCCTTTCTGGTGGAATTGGGGATAATTGGGGATGCCCCTACCGCTTGAAAGGTAATGCCCCAATTATCCCCAATTATTTCGCATTGCTTCATGATCTCGCCACATTACTACTTGATTCGCTAAATGCGACAGGATGTGACAGGTTTTGCTTCGTGGCCACAGGTCATTCTTAGCCTGATCAGCGCATCGTTTGGAATAGTTGCACACCTTTCCACCAGATTTTAATTCTTCAGCCCGCCAAATCAGACTTGGAACCGCAAGCCACATGCTGCTTCCACTTGGAAATCCGACTGTTGAAGCAGTGTTTTTGCTGTTACATCAGCAAAAACAGGCACTTACTGGTCACAAAAACGGGATCTCACGGGTGAGCATTGGCAAATTGCAAAAAGAGAGGGGGTATACCGGGTATGCACTGCTTGACATCGCACTTGTTGTTCTTGAAGCATCTTGAAGCATCTTGAAACGACATCTCCTTGTTGCTGGTGAAACATGGTGAAACCCGATTTTGGCTGAAATCCCAGCTTTCCGCCCCCCTCATCACCGGGCCGCATCTTCCCCCACGGCCGCATTCAGCACCGCCACTCCAGATGCGCCCAGCATGTTGAAGCTCTCCAACGGCTTGCTAGTGTCCACCTTAGGACGGAAAGCGTTTTTGGGGAGTTTTTTTCCGACCCTCTGGGAAGGCTACCTGGGGTTGTGGCCCACACCCACTATATAGTCACTATATTGTATATATATATATGTGTGTGTATATATATATATATCAATAATGGAGAAGGCAATCAGTCACTCATTGAGTTTGACCGGCATTTTTTACACTGTCGAGCCAGCAAAAGAGGAAAAGAATGTCGAACTGCCGGACCAAGTAGAGTATGAGGAAGTCACGGGCACACAATGGAAATCAATGGAAGCACACATCATTCAAGCAACCAAACTACCCTCTGGTAAACTAACATAACTATGGAAAATCACATTTTTTATGGGTAAATCCACTATGAATGGCAATTTTCAATAGCTTTTTGTTTGTTTACGAGAGGGTAACATGAACTAACCATCCAGAAATCCATCAGTGACTCATGTCCCACTTGGAGACGAAGATATCAGAGCCTATTGTCGATGGGTTTTTGATGCTTTTTGTTATCAAAATGTGGAGCCCGAAGCCATCTTTCTTTCCCAACCTCAGCGGCTTAAGGCCATTTTTCTGTGCTCCAAAAGCACCCCCCCTCCGAGTGAAACTGGGTGAAACCATGGTTCGACACGTTGTGTCACGAAGTGTTGCGAGGAGCTCCGGTGTTCCAATGGCGGCTGGCCACAGAAAACACTGGTGTTCATATGTTTAATGGAAATTAAATAACACCACGTCCAAAGATATTCCCCTTCAAGTTGGGCATGTTCTATTGCCAGGTTGGTTGGCCGGAAGGTATTTCCTGATATTACGCCGTTCAAAAAATTCTTTAAACCTCATTCATTACTGCTAGATCATGCTGAGGGCCCAGTTTTCAATCGGTAAATTGATACAAATCTGCTACCTCAATGTCTTCACAGCTGAACCTTCGGGTCCCCGCGGAAAATGGTCACATGATGTCACACGCGTTTTTTTCGCACAGTACTCCAACTACTCCAACCTTCGAACTCTTAGGGTTTGGGTTTTAGGAGCTGAGTGATGATCTGGCGAGTCCGATCTTGATAGCCTTCGAGTGGCTGATAGCCTCGGGCACACGAGTTGCCCCATGAAATCCAGAGGGAGTATAAGTTGCCCCAGTGTGAGGACTTGACCCTAACCATACGTCACTACATTTGCAACATCAGCTAAATCAGCTATGGCGATCTCCCAAAAAGTTGCTGCGCTTCGTTCACCATGGTTTACCCTGCCTATGTCCAGTCTATCTATTGAAGTATAGCAGCCTCAAAATAGAGAACGAAAAGTTGGAAACATGGCAAACATGAGGGATCATCATGAATACCATCTGTTCTATCTAGGCTCATAAACCCCCATGAAACAATCAAAATGGATCAAAACGGCAAATTTTCGCATCTACCCGTGCATAGCTATGCTTTACCATTGGATCTAACTTAATTTTGTGTCTGAAACAAACCCTAAACCCTACCCTCCACCAAGGTTTACCTCTTAATCCCAGATCATTTTCCTAGGAAAAGCCATGGAATTCATTGGATTTCCATAGTCATTTGCCTGAAACAAGCGGCAAATCAGAGATTAAGATTTATGGTTGATCATCATTGCCTCTACTGGAAGAACTATATTTTTTGGATTTTGTTGGAGTGTGTCTCCCCTATTCTTGGACACACCCGTGTCCACCCGTTGACAGCGAAAGGGCTCGGTGGCACAGTGACCACTGTAGGTGCCTCCAAGGTAGCCGGGTTACTGTCTCCAACTGCTGATCTGCAACCAAATCAGTAGATCTTCTGGTGGGTTTTTAATGGTTTTTACATGTGCCCCCTGAACAAATTGTAAGTCAAAATTCATCAATATATATATATATCCATATAGGATGGATGGGATGGAGCAAAATAAAGCACCAACTCATTTTCTTGGTGGCAAAGTGGCCCTTTTGCCTCTTGATACCTGGGAGGACTTTAGGAAAAGAATGGAATTGCTATGCCCGAGGTTTCTTCTGAAACCCTTCTTTTGCTCCGTTCTTTCCAGTATCTTTGATGGTGTGTGGAGAAATATAACCAAAACCATATGTTTTTACCATCATATATCATCATATGATATAGGGGGATAAAACTCGCGGATTTCCCCTCCAGTTTTTGGGATTCTTCACTTTTGTTGTTGGCTTGCTTGTATCCCAGTACGACTCGTGCAATTCTTCACTACTACTGGCCGGACTGATCCCCACATCATGTTGGGTCAAGAATCAATACATATGGAGCCCCAAAAATTATAGAATTGACGACTCTAACCCAACCGTTTTTGGACTCACCATGACTCACCCCTTGATGCCCTGCTCCCGGCTCCATTTTAATAACACCACGTGATCCTCATCATTGCACGGACAAGTTGTGTTTCTCAGCCAACATATTCAATCTGTTTGGTCCTGAAAAGGTCTGTTGTTAAACGAGTTCATGAAGAAATGAAATGAATATGAAATATTATGAAATGACATGAAGCCCAATATCGACCCGATGAAACACCACGCAAATCTGCCTGGTCTTCCCATCGTTCATGCCACTTTCTGCTCTGCTCGTGGATCAGCCGAAGCTTCTCAATACGGTCCAGCATCTGTGTGATGTTCTCATCCAGCTCACTGGTCCTCCACGTGGCGAAGGTGTGTCAATCATTCCGTTGCGGCTTCGGAAAAGTGTGGTGCCATGTGGTGGCTACAGGTGGTGGTACGAGGATTACTGGAAGCCGCTATGTAGTGATGTGTTGTTCATTTGTTTGCGGACGTTCCGCCGGGAAATTTGCCAAATCCTAATAATTCTAACACACAAAGTAGCCGTAGCCGAGATTTACTCGGCTTTTGGACCCTTTTTTTGGCCGTCTTTGATGCAGATTGTTTGGTGCCCTTTGAGTGGGGTCCCGCACAAGAATTGAACCTTAATAAGCCCCTAGTGAAGGTTGATGGGGGCCAATAGCCCCGTATGGGAACCAAAAAAGATAGGAAAGATTAGGAAAGTAAATCATCACGATTTTAGTCGGATTTTGCGATGCTTCTATCTTTTTGGGGATGACTATGATTCGACTATGCCTCATCAAATGTGGACATCATGGCTGGGCTCCTGATGCTATCCACCTGCTGCAAAATCTCCAGCTGGTTGGGGTCGCCGATCCGAGTGGTGACTAAATAGTTAAAGGTGTTGCCCAACCTTGGGTGATTGATCCCACTCTGACGGGATCTTCATATATGGAAACATCATATGGACATAATTTCCATGATGTATGGAATCAGTTTTGCTCAAAAAAAATCCCAACAAATCAGAAAAATCCATGGAAGTTTTTGATTCCTCAAAATCATGGTTTTTCCATGGTTAATTCCTCAAAAATCCCATAAAAAAACCAATGGAAGTGTATGGCTGGCTACAAAATAAGACCAGCAGCAACTTGGCGACTTCGCGATCTTCAAATTTCCTCCGATCAAAGCCTGAACAGCACCTGGTGGATGTTGAGCGCTGGAAGTGGCAAGAGAAATGGCTCGGATTGGCTCAAAAAATATAGGCATTTGACCAACGAACATCATGTTTTTTCCGTTTTTCCTATGAAAAATGGTGAAAAATGGTGACTTATAACTTTGACTCAAGCAACAATCATCGGGATTGAAATGGATTGAACCATTTGGGACAATTTTATGAACATGTTCAGGCCGAAAGAAACTAGAGAAGCTTGGCCATTTGGCCATGGTTGTTTTCCTTGTTTTTGCTTACCAGAACCATCCCATCTGTGTGCTGTCCGGCCAAAAAATCCATTTCTAAGATGGGAGGACCCATATCCGTCTATCAACGAAGCCTGGTCCCACAAATCCCACCCTGTCCACCGAATACGGAAAAAAACATCGGATCTCATCTGGACAGCCGGGATAGCCCCAATGATAGCTATGTTTGATGGGAATCCATGATGGAAAATGATGATAGTCCAATGGATTTAGGTTTTTTCCCCTAAATTTTCAGACATCCACCCATCTCGGATTCAAGGCACACGTAGAAGGAGCTTTGAAGTGCATTAAAATGATCCGACTTCACATCCTTCACCTGCAGGAGAAGGGCGATGTCAGGTAGAATGGCGGAAGATATGTCATTCTTTGGGACTATCTGTTTGTTGTCTGGTCATGTCTGGTCGCATCATTGAATTCTTGATGCGTGTGTAAATGATCAACATGTCACGGGGCAAAATTACTCGAAGTAAAGTCATCTTTCAGCTGCCTGGCTGGCATACGTCCCCTTTTTGGCGGAAAAAAAGAAGACGAGCTTCTCCAAACAAGGATGGTTTGAAATGTTTGACCTCACACATACAATATTCTGCAATGACACATGTATACAAATGTTTCATAATGTGTCCCTTAATCTCCCAGTTCCCACCTTTTGCGTCGCGGATTTCCCATGGCCAATCTTCAAGAAAACAAATGACAAATGTTCACCTACCCTGAACCAATGAATTCACGCGACTCTGAAAAGCGATTTCACCAAATGTCCAAAATGTGATCCGGATTGGTTCGAAGCTTTTTGATCTCCATCTATATCCCTTCAAAAAACCATCTATATTTGATTGTGACTACAGTAACTTATATGCTTATCAGCTTGATTTTCCCATGATTCCATTGGGTGAATCTCATGTTATCAGGCGGCACCTGAGCGAACAAGTCGTGGAGCAACGCAAAGAGCCGCAAGGTGCATTGCTTGTACCACACCGTGGCCAGGTCCTCCGGGCGATGGCGTTGACGCTTAGCTCATTTGGTCATAGAATCTTATAGAACTAGCTGGGGTTGAATTCTGGGGGATATCAAAATTGAGAAAAACATCCCATAGATGCTAGTTCAATACAGTTTTATATCCATTTATATCCCCCATAGAACTGGGATAACATCCCACAGATGTAAAAACTTGAGCTAACGATTAATCTGGGTAAATCATAATATTTCACTCACCTGAATCTTAAGGCCATTTGGGAATCATGTCCCTTTCTAACTATGATTATAGTAATTTATTTTCTGCGGCTTATGAATCCCAACCAACTGAGGGAACTTCACCAACCAATCACTGGTACCCGGCCTCGGGTGGCCCGTCCCGCCAGCCGAAGCGGAAGATCCTTGGTTGCAAATTCCCCATATATCGGAACATGAGCTATAAGGGTTGCTTTTTTTCTATCTAGTTTTGCTATTTAAAATGGAAAAAAAACAGTTCCAAGAGCTTCCTGGAACCCCCTTGTCACTTTGTCGGCAGAAAAAGGTCCAGCCCTTGCCGCCAAACAGCAAGGATTCTCAAATTAAGACTGCACAAGATTGCATTGAAGGCCCAACAAAAAAAATGTTTTTTTTCATCATGGGAAAACACAACTCAAAGATCCTCAAACAAAAAACAGTAGGGCTCAGCAATTGTCACCAGGGCTCAGCATTCCCCCGGGCAAAAGTCGACTTAAACCTAGCCAGAACTGTTTGACCAGCAGTGCCCAGACGCCATGCTGCTTGCTGCGACACCTGCCAGCTTGCTGCAAGGCTGCAAGGCTTTCTTGGGCAAAAATGGGACAAGCTGGGCCACCCCAGTTAGAAGTTGGTTTAGAATGTTTTACAAACCCCATCATAACTATAGTTATATCATGTTATATCATGTTGTATCATGTTATATCTACCACAAACCATAGCTCAAGTTATGAACCAACTCAGCTATCTCGGAGCCCCCTTGGATCTAAATGTTAACACAATTAAGAAGGCCTCGACTCGCAACGCATTCAGGAAACAAGATCTATAGATAACTTCAATTACACAAGGGACAAGGGTTAGCCATAAATATTGGGTCATGTTTTGCTCATCCACACATGATCAAGCCTCTTTTTGTCGTTGGTGGATTTCCGGGAAATTTAAAGTTGATTTTTTCGGATCGCCCTGACGTCATGTTTTAAAATCACAAACTGTAAAAATCATCCCACCTGACTCCGGTGTACTTCTCATCCCAGGCCACTTCATTCCGCATGTACTGGGCATCGCAAATGCAGACGTGCACCTCTTTCGCCACCAGATCTTGAGGACCTGCTGGGTCGAGCTGTTTTTGTCAGATCACTCGGATTTTGGAACTTCGGGAGGTCGTTGTTTTTTGAGTTTTTTTGAATCAAAACATGGCATTGATTATCATTGATTAAGAAAATCATAGAAAATCTGGTTGATGGGACCAACCTCGAAAAGGGAAAATGAATGAAAATGATGGAAAATGATTTGCAACTAAAATGGCATCATCGCATGCAATTAAATAGCTAAGGGGTGTACGAAAGTTCTGTATTGACATTGGAGATATTGTACATAAGTTAAACTAATTATGCTGGTTTCAATATGTTGGGACTTTGATAGGGTCTAGAATCTAGAATCCCAGACATCGTCTAGGGCGACCCTAGCCACAAAAACACATATATAACCCAAATAGATCCCAAAAATGGCAATCATGCAGAACAAAATCCAATTGTACAATTGTACAATATTGTATACATGTTTTATACAATGCAGAACCACCACCACTACCCAAAAAACATATAAAATAATAGTGGTGCGAAAATCATCAGCTCAAGGTGCCCAGTTCAAACAAGTCCCCTTGCTGCAGGAGGAAGTTTGGACACCGCAGGCGCATGGGAAAACCTCCCAGTGACGATGGCAAGGTCACGCCAAAGCCTGAGCTTCTGTTTCAGCGCTGGGCTGGTCCCAGAGCGTGGTCCACCATGTCAAAATTGTCAAACCTCCATTACCAGCCAGGTTCGATTATATACTTCTTGTGCGATCAGAAAGATGCAGAATCGCTTTGGAAAAATTCCATATCCGAGAAAGTCATACATGCAGTAATCTCACAAATGTGAAGACTGGAGCCCCTATGTGGGACCTTTCTGAAAATGTAGGGTTACAGTAAACCTACTCTCTCCTGCATCTTTGTGCATGTAACTAAAGGACATAATTTGTCCTTGAAAACCACCAAGCTGATCAAAATACAATAATTCAACACCCTGTTCGGTTCGTCCGTTTTGGGCTACACTGGTGGCTACACTCTGAACGCGCAACATGGACCCCTGGACCGGGGTCACCTTTTACCGCACCTTAGCCACCCAAATTTCCCCCAAACCAAGCAGCCCATCTGACACCGGGCATCCTGCAAGAGGTACGAACTGAATCCTCCAGGTGCACAGCCCAGGTCCAAAAAGCGGAAGCCATTCTCGGGCACCAGGCCTATGAGGTAGTCGTGGGCCTCGAAGAGCTCGTCCATGACGCCAAAGCATTTCTGGAAATGCACCTGGTGTGTTTTTTTCTTTGGGTGGGAATATCATGAGCTATTTATCATGGGCTACTATAATGAAAATATCATGGGGATATAATTTGAGCGAGTGATTCTTTGGATGCTGGTAAAGCAGTAGGATCCACCACTCCCAATTTTACTTCCCATTTTTATGGGTGGTTTCACCATTAATCCATGTAGTGGGGGTAGTTTGTTTTGCTCAACGGATTGGTGAAGAAGGGAGGATGACTTCAGGAAACCATGTCTTAAACTAATCCATTGATCTTTTACTTGCAAAAAGCGGGGAAATCAACGTTAGAACTGCAGAATGGGGCCCAACCTGGATTTAGGAAGCCAGAATTTGGAAAATTCCTGAAAATTCATGGGGTGGGTTTTAGTGGGAAAATCTTGGCCAGAAGAAACCATGGTAGGGTTTATCGCATTACACGCAATATATCATTATATATATATATGTATACATATACATAAAATTATATACATAATATACATATATATATATATATGTATAAATACGGGATTATGGTAGGGTTTCCCTGCAATCTTTCCCTTGGTCCAATTCTAGGAAGCCTGCAGCGTGGCTAGCGAGACTCAAATCAGTATGGTTCCACATTGAACAGTCAGAAAAACATAGGAAAAGCACACGGTTTCACCATTTATGCAGGAAAATGGAATGAACAAGCAATTGTGGAGTAGCATGTGGTGCAGTCTGACCAATACACATGGAGACCTCTCTATGATACTCTGGCCCTTTCAGTCGCCAAGCATGGGGATCGAACTTTGCCATCTAGGATCATAGGGGATCTTTCTGAACTCTGTAAGATATGGGCCCACGAAAGGCAAACAAGGCGGATATGGCTGGCCAAAATCTTGTGTGGCCATCGATGCGAGCGATGTGCATGGTAGCATATCTAAGACTATTGGGATATGACAACGAATGATGGGTGTTCTGACTAACAAATAAGTGGGGATGTAGAAACAAATATTCGACCAGAAACAAGTGGGGATGATTGCATCAACCATGTCTGAATCATTTTGGTATATGAGGAGCAAAATCCTGTGATATCAGTCGTGATATCCCCATTTCAGTGTTTTTTTTTGGGGGGGGTGGGGAAGGCCCAATCCCAGCAATCCAAGTCATTTTTGAGCTGGGGATATTACACTTCATTGCAGATCTTCCCGGCCTCCGTCTCGTACTGTGCACGGTACTGCTGATCGGCCAATTGCGCGGCATACTCATTGTACAAGGGCTGCTCCATGGCAAACTGGATCAGCAATCCGATGCAGTTCGCCCCAGTTCGCCCCGAGCACCGCGCCGTTAGGCGCGAAAACCAGGAGGGAAACCCTCTTCGCGTTGCGGAATCTTGAGGAAAAAGGGCCAGCAAATCTCATGAATGCAGGTCAAACATCAACAAGAAATTGCGTTAAATGATTTTGAATGAAATGATGTGAAGGGTTTATGGATGACTCCCACTAACCAACGGAACGGATTGATCTGGGTTGATCTGGATTGATGGTACTGTCACAGTCGAAAATTCGCAGGTATCCTTGGGGACAACCAAAGTCATCCTTCCCACCAAGTTCCATGAACTCTGTTGTTTACTCCCTTGCCCGGCCACGGAGTGATATAGTTGTGACTACCTTCAACCTCTAGACTCTGGACTGTTCAAGATATTTCTAGATAGCTCATTTCAAGACTTTTTGTAGAGTGATCTAGAGTTGATATTTATGTCTAGAAATATGTCAAGAAGATTTACCCTCTGGTTATTTGACATAGCCATGGAAAATCACCAGTTTTAATAGGTAAACCATCTATTTCTATGGGCCATCTATACCATGGCTATGTTAGTCATAACCAGATATAACCAGAGGGTACATGTAGAGTGATGATCTAGAAATATGTCAAGGCCCTTGGGATCGGATTAGAACAGCCTCTCACATGATGTCAGCAGGCCTGGGCACTTTCTACACCCTAATTGTCGATTCACAACTGGGGGTTGCCACTCTGGCCAACCGTGTTATACCATAATCATCAATCAGAACTCTGCTGTGGTTGATTTGAATGATTTGACTGAATCTAATGCCACCTACGATTGTACAAAAAAGGTGGGGTCTCGCTCCATCGCCTTCTTACGGCGTTTTTGATTGGAGATGGTTGAGCTGGTTTGGTTGGTTTATTTGGTGTATTTCATTGATTTGGCATGATTTCCGGTTTTTTTTTGCGTTGGTCGATTTGTTGATTTGGTTGGCATCCAAAAGCAACCTATAGTGCAATCTATATGCTCAAATACTGCGTATAAATACTATGCTGAATACATATAAATGAGCACAATACTACCAATAGCCGTTTCTCGCACAATAGTAATTCTTTATGTACAAAAATAACTAATGCGTTCAATACTTTTGAACACATTCTATCAATACAATACTATCCCATTCATTGACTATCATAATGTATACATAAAAAAAATACAATGCTACTCAATACTGCAAAACTATCAACAACCCTTTAGATGTATATATATATATATTAATGTGTGTTATGCAGTTGTGCCACTATTCATATTGTATAATACCATGTAATACCACTACTGTGTAGAATGCCAAATATCAATAACATTCAACAGTAACTGTAGGAACCCTAGACATATCAATAACATTCATTGAATATATATATATATATAGCGCATTGTAATGCCACTATTAAACTAAATAGCTCTAAATATCAATACCCTCCGGTAATCAAACATGGCGTGCTGGAAAATCCACCGTTTGATTCGATGCTTTTGTTCCCATTAGTTGGCCTCCATTTAGTTCGGGGATTTTCCGGCCAATGTTTGATTCTCGGAGGGTTATCCATGAAAGTGATGGGTTAGCACTAAATACATACAATACCACTATTATAATATAAAACCCCTATATAATAACTATTCAACACACCAATGGGAACTACTAAGCAATAGTGTAGTGATATTGTACTATAATAATAATCATCATAATGTTAACAACATAGAAAACATATACATATATATGGAATAATAAGTAATACTAATAATAATTGTAATGATTATGCTTCTAATAATCACTACAGACTATAGTAATAGGATGTAATAGGTATATATTGTATATATATATATATGGTCCCGTGTCCCGTGTTCCCACCCCCCCCCATGGGATGGGGGGGGGGTATGATGCCCCTGTGGTGGTGTATATACATACATACATACCTACATACCTACCTACCTACAATAAAACATACATACATACACCATTACCATTACTTACCTTAAAAACCTTACATTCCATTACATACATACATGTACACATACATACATACATACATTACCTTACCTTACATTACCTTACCTTACATTACATTACATACATACATACATACATACATACATACATACATACATACATACATACATACATACATACCATACATTACATACATACCATACATTACATACATACCATACATTACATACATACATACATACATACATACCATACATTACATTACATACCATACATTACATACATACCATACATACATACATACATACATACCAACATACCAACATACATACATACCAACATACCAACATACATACATACCAACATACCAACATACATACATACCAACATACCAACATACATACATACCAACATACCAACATACATACATACCAACATACCAACATACCAACATACCAACATACCACCACCACAGGCCACAGGGGGGAGGGACCAGAAGAACCATACCACCACCACAGGCCACAGGGGGGGGGGGACCAGAGGAACCATACCACCACCACAGGCCACAGGGGGGGGGGGACCAGAAGAACCATACCACCACCACAGGCCACATGGGGGGGGGGGAGGGGGGGTGGCAACGCTGCACCATATATATATATATATATATCACTATGGTACACATTATAGAATACCACTATGGTATACCAAATATCAACCGAGCCGCCGTGATCACCGTGACATTCGAAACGGCCGGCTCCGCGGCCGGCTCGGCCGGCAGCTGTGCCCAGAGGTGGCTTAGGAAGTCTTCGGCCTTCTCGTTCTCGTCCTGAAAAAGGGCTGAGTTCACCGAAGGATGAAACATTTGGGTGTGTCTGAAAATAGCGTACCCCTAAACCCAATGGTTAATGATCATTATCCCTATTAAATGGCTATAATTGGGAATATACCCTATTTTCAGACAAACCCATTTCATGATTTTCACGTGATTTTTTAAGCACGTCTCATGATGATTTAATAAAAGTGATTTGAACTTTCGAAAGTGAAGAAAAAATGTGATTTGATCAGTAAGATGGTGTTTTTTGGGGGATATTGAAGGAGGCTTGACAATGTTTTTAATGTGGGATTTAAGTTGATGGATTGGTTTCAGGGGAAGTCTACAGGAAAAGTTGAGTTTTACCTCTGAAATAGATATTTGTTCTGCTGATTTCCCCTAGAAAATAAGGGATGAATAGGATATGAATATATCATAAATACCTAGGCCCTCCAAATACCAAAAAAAACATCGTAAAAGTACCAAACTTGTGGGGTAGGCGTCTAAAACCGACCCAAAAAAAAAAATGGGCCATAAAGGTTAGCCATGGTTAACCCAAATAGAAACCAACAACTAGCTATCATAAATCAACCATAAATCCCATGACATCCCCCATTTTTCTTGGAAAACGTCACATTTCCCATGGGAAAATAGGGGAGAGCACCTCGTAGGTTGCAATCAGCTAAGTTGTTTTAGAGCCAGTTTTCCTGGGCGAAAGCTGATGCAACATGTATAATTAAACAGATCTGTACATTTAAACAGTTAAATATACACAAATCAACATGTGTATCTTGTTATGCTGTGTATAAGTGTGTATGTGTGTGTGTGTGCGTATGTGTGTATCTTAAAGTATCTGGGTAAATTATAATATTTCACTAACCTGAATTAAGGCCATTTGGGGATGATTTCCCTTATTAACCATGATTCCAGGCTTCGGTCGCAGTGAGGTCGTTATAATTTACCCAGATGAATGTATAAACCAACTAAATCCCGGCAGGGTGGCACGCCCTCCTCCACTCTCTGCAAATAGCTCCGAAGGCTCTGCAACTCTGACAACTCCGCCGTTCTCCGCCTCAGCGAGCTGAAATGGTCGACGACCATTGGGGATGATGATAGTGGCCCCTGACAATTCCCATCATTCCAGTGAGGTCGCGACGTGAGGGTTGTGGATAAATGATGCACAATGGATTAGATTTTTTTCCAGCCCTTTACCCTCATTTAACATAGCCATGGAAAATGGCCAATTTATAGATCATTCTCCCATTAAAACCTCCATTTATAAGGGATTTTCCATATGTTAAATAACCAGATGGTACATCCCTTTATTACGATTCAGCATCGATGCCTCACCACCCTTTTTTTGCGCCTCAACTCCCACCAGATGCAAAGGAAGGGCAGGACCAGCGCCACGGCCGCGCCAGCGCCGAGCGCCATGGCGGAGAGGCAAAATTTGGCGCCAGCGAATTTTGCAGACTTCAGCTAGCGAATTGAAGAATAGTTGTTCAAATGTGAACAATCTAAAGAAATCTCTGAAGTATTCAATTGTTTAGATGTGAAGAATCAGAAGTTGATCTCCACTGAGAATTATTGATGGAATCTACATGTGGTCTCCACATGGAATCTCCATCAGTTGGGACTGAACTCCCGGCCAAATCTCTGGAAATCCATGGGTGAATGGTGGTCCGACTATGGGGCTTTAAAAAAAAATTAAAGGGAAACCATTTGGGATATTTGACAGCGAAATCATTTGGGTAGCATTCCCATCCACCAGTGAGTTCAATTGTTTTCCCACTAGAATCACTAGCGAACTCCCATTTCTATTGGCTTTCAATTGTCAGCTTTGCTTACCGAAGCACGAAAAACGAGTGACCCAGTACCCGTGGCAATGACCCTGTTGTTGCAGTATGTCAGTATGTCGATCTCTTTCCAAGAATTACCCTCTGCCAATCAAACATGGCATGCTGGAAAATTCCCCATCAATCATTTTCCCAGAAACCTCCATGGATGATCTTCCCATATGTTCATCTAGATGTTTCCATACTCTTCTGCTAAACTACAGTAGGAACTTTTAAGAGAACAGTTGTTCCATTTTTCCATGGATTACCATCTGGTAAACTGTCCCATAACTATGGAAAATCACCATTTTTAATGGGAAAATCCACTATTTATAAATGGCCATTTTCAATAGCTTTTTGTATGTTTACCAGAGGGTACCATCACCTTCGCTCCCCGGATGTTTTCCGCCAGGGCGTCAAAGAGCGACACGCCACTCTCGGTTCGAAGTTCCCGCAGTTGCGGGGAATTGGCGCGCCAGACCTGGCTCAAGGTCGACCCAGGAAACATCGCAACCATGTTTTTTACCCAAAAATATATAGATAAATAAGATCCTAAATAATACTTAAATAGTTTTCTATACATAATATATATATATACATATATATATACATACATACATACAGTATATCTTTGGGGGTTGCTACAACATACAGCGCGTGCATAGCAGAAACAAGTCCCTATTCATCCCTGGAAGAGCACCTCAGCACCAGCCCAGAAGTTGAGAAATCCTCAGCACGGCTGATGTCATGAGTGTCGTGGCTCTGATGACCTCAAGGTTGCTGCATCTTGCTGTACAATGTGATACCCTCTGGTAATTTAACATATGGAAAGATCCACCATTTTCTAGCTGGGAAAATCCACTATTTCGACTGGGGCCATTTTCAATAGCTATTTTGACATAACCAGAGGGTAACCCAGTAAAATCGGTAAAAGATAAACCTCGAATATCAGGTTTAAGCAAAAACGGATCCACCGTCCCCAAATTGACCTGAACAATGGGTGAAGGTCAAACCATGAACCAAGAAAAATCGTTGATTCTTGCGTATTACTGGCATCAATCCCATAAATTGGTGGTTTTTTTCTCCCTGCTAGTGGCTTATTAGACCCAAACAACCAGGGTCATATCCGACATATCCAGGTAACCATGGCCCCAATGGGCTCACCAGATTCACCAAGAATCGATGCACCCAAGGCACCTGCGGAGAGATCGGAGGATTGCTTCGAAAAAAACGGGGCGCCCTATTTTAATCCACCCAACATCCCAGGGTTCATCATCAAATCATCATCGAAATCGATCAAAATCCCAGGGTTCATCATCTTCCATCAAGGACCCAAGATGACCCAAGTATCATCATCATGTTTCAACTACAATTGAAATTCTTGGGGTACACCGGTACACCGCACTTCTGGACCTGGTGACAAGCCCCTATCTTGCCGAAAAAACACACAAAAAACAACTTCGCTCTGGTAGCCGAGCATAGCTATGCAAACCGCGGCAAACAAATACCACGCAAGGTGACGCACACCAGTTATAAGTTGGTGGACAAACCCCAGTTACTATAGTTATATCTACCATAAACCCACAGTTCACCAACTTATAAACCAACTGAGCTATCTGGGAGCCCCCTTAGCTATCAGCAAAATCAGCTATAAATGCATAGAAAACCAATTGTTTGTCTGTATAAATGAACTTAGCTATTATAAATCAACTATACCCTCTGGTAAACCAACATAGCTATTGAAAATTGCCATTTATAGTTGATTTACCCATTGAAAATTGTGATTTTCCATAGTTTTTTGTATGTTTACCAGAGGGTAAATCCCATGAGATCCCATAAATCTGTTTTTTGATCCCAGTAAAATACCATGAATCCACCAGATCTTCGTTGCCTCGTGGAACATCACTGGCAAATGCACTGCCTTGATGCGATCATCACATCCAACACCTGGGATGGCGAATCTGACGATACGCAGCAGGATCCTAATGGGATATATACTGATAATGGGAATTTCTCAACGAGTGTATATATATATAATTATATATATATAACTTGCATATGTATATGTATATACATATAATATATATATGTGTGTGATTATGTGTGTGTGTATAGCAAATCAAGTTTCATAGCAATATATTGCAGTTTACTGTAATATATGTGACATCTTGGGGTTTGTCCGAACTATTTAGTGGATACCGCAGACAATGATCAACCACTGGATTTTTGGATTGTGGGTATGTTAGAGATTGTTGATTCGGGACCGCACGTGGAAAAATGGAAAGTGGCAGCCAAAGCAACAAAGTGAATGAACAAGCAATAATTTATAATAATTTCATTCCTCTCCAATCTCCGCCTGTCACTTGTTACTTCATGTTATTTCCATATACATCACCACGAACTAAGCACACCCATGGCGGGTGGCCATCTCTGTTATTTAGAGGATCAATCATTCTGAGCCTAAGCCATAGTCCAACAGGTTCCTATTCCCAATTGAAATAATGGTTTGTGGCTTGGATTTCAATTAAATTACGTCAAAATTTATATATATATATATATATGTACGTAAATATACGTGTATATACATATATATATATACATATGAATATGAATATGAATATGAATATGAATATAGATGTATATACCACAATATAATAACCATGATCCTTTCCAGCCGAAAGCCACCTCATATATACTCATGGACCTATGGATATTCCTGCGGCATCTCCAATCATAGCTGGTTGTATTCCCTTGTTTCATGCTTCAAAAGCCTCGTCATATCATATGTTGTTGAAACCACCATGAAATATCACCAGTATGTGGTTTTATCATGTTTTATCACCTGTCACCAGTATGGTTGTAGATATTGCTTGTTTGTGCATACTGGTTTATCAGTTGTGTCACCAGTATGGTACCTCCCCCCAATATCAATCTAGGGTGTTATCAGCTTCAAGATACCCAACACATGATGACCAAATATGATACCTAACATCTTCTTAACATCTTCACCACCATCCATCACCAGTAGATCAACTCCACCATACTCGGCCCCTAGGCCCCTAGGCCGGTGCTTCCAAGCCACGCTGCCGAAACTCATCCAGGATGCGCGTGCCGTCCGCGTTGGTCACGCGGAAGTGCTTCCGCAGCACGTCGTTCGGGCCCCTGGGCAGCCGCTGCCGCTGGGAGCTACTTCCAGAAAATGAGGTGGTTCAGGACATCAGGAGTTGCTGTATGTTGCTGTGATTTTACGTAACTTGGCCAAGATTGGCCAAGTCAAATACATTTAAGTTGAAGGATGTTTGCATCACCATGTTTTTCTTCATTCGACATGTCGATGGCTCAAACTTGGGTACCAAAGCGGCTCGCAAATTTGGTCATTTTGAACGACAGCGATGTTTCGCAGGCAACGTCATGTTAACTAACAATGTAAACGGGTAGACAACCTTTTTCCTCGATTTGCAGAATCCTTGGCCCCAATTTCCCTGAAACTACACATACTTCACCCGAGTAAATTTGGGGTGTGGATGACGTGGAACCAAGAAAAACCAAGGAACAGATACCACAGGATCCCGTCAAATCCCTTGAACTTCCCCTGTTCCCCGTGTTCTCCCAGGTTTTTCCCCTGCAAAAGTCTGCAGCTATGGCTGCCATGGCTGAGGCACGAGGGCTCCGCCAAAGGAAAGTTCATCTGTTCCTGAGGGGTCTGGGGAACGAACCTCTGGGCCTCTGGATTCAATGGAACATCAATGGTATAGAAAATGGAAAAAATGAATTATAAATCAAGGCTACTATATGGTACCATATGGAATTATATGCTATTATATGGTACATTTATTATAAATCAATATAAAAGTTTATATAAATCATCTGGAATTATATGGTATTATATGCTATTATATGGTATTTTAGTATGTTTTAGTAATCCTGGAGGTCTCTGTTCCCAGTAACGTGGTTTCCCCTAAAGGGTGCTGGCTGCTGGACTTGGCAGAATCCTTGGCCCGGATCGGGCCCCAGTGAACTGCTTGGTGGTTTTAACCATCTTGAAACATATTGGTCAATGGAAAGGATGACATCCCATATATCATGGAACATATAAAATGATTGAAACCACCAACCAGTTATAGTACTGATATTGAAGTAAGTTAATCTGTATATAGTATTAGCATATGTACGTGTATAACATGGGAATTAATATGTTAACTCAATCTATAACATGGATATTGAAAAAATATAGTACATTATAGTACTACAGTTTAAATGTTTGCCAAATATGATCGCGTATGTGTTACAGTAGAGAAACACCTGTCACCTAAGCATAGGTGACTATACATCATGTGGATATATATATATACATAGATAATTATATATGTGTACGTGACGTGTGTGTGTGTGTGTGCACGCACGGTGTAAGATTTCAATACCAACACCGTGTTGTCTTTGGATTTTTTTACTGTATAACCCAATGAAAAGAAGGCTCGCCTTTAAGCCTTCAATTCTTGAGAGGCCGGACTCTGCCCATGTCCGGCCACCAAGCTACCCTGCACAGGCCCGATCCCGTTCAATTGTCAACTAAGATCAACTACGGGATTGACTGGATGATTTGGGGCTACCCCCACATGAATTAGGAAACCCCTGTGTGGATGTCAACCATCAAGAATTGGGACATTTATTCATAGTCAGCAAACACACGTGTATATATATATATGTGTGTGTGTATATTTATATCTGGGTAAATTATAATATTTCATTAACCTGAATTAAGTTCATTATTCCCAGTGAGGTCGCAGTGAGGTCGCTATAATTTACCCAGATATATGTGGCCAGGATGGGGGTAGTGCCCGGCGAAGTGGATTTGAACTGCGCAGGGCCACTATGTCGGTGACATAGCTGACGCTGACGAGACTTGTTTCCAAAACACAAAATCCTAAACCCTAAAACCTAAATCTGACATGGAACCCTAAGTTAGCCTTGAAAGTAAGGTCTTCCTAAAAGCGAGGGAAAAAAAAACGTGAAAAAAAAACAAATGGAAGCCATTGGAAGCCTAAAGCTTAGAGAATTGGAAAAATGTTAGACATTAACCTGCGGGCCATGAATCCATATCCAGGGCTGCTCGGATGTAGCTGGCCAAGTCTTCCAAGTAGCTGGGGCACTTCACATGCAACGTCGTAAAGTCCTACAAGCAGTGCCACGGGTCGGTTTCGATGGGGTTTAACCATGTTTAACCACTCAAAATAGGATTTAAACAGCAAGAATTTGGATGTATAGTTGATTGATGATGTATAGTTGATTGATGATGGCATATGATAGCTAAGTTGGTTTATCACTCCCAGAACTGCTAGGTTTATGGTAGATATATCGAGCTACTTAAAGGGAGTTATAAACCAACTTATTGTGGGGTCACCACCTTTGTACGCCGCGTTTTTTGGATCGATTGGTGGGAACATGGTATGAAAAGTGGGTCAAGATTGCAAACTGCCCTCCGGTAAACTAAGAATATGGAAAAACATAGTTTACCAAGGAAAATGATCAAACTACCGATTACCCATGCATACCCAACATTTGCTGGAGGGTATCTTCTTTAGACTTGCTTGATGAATTCTGAGCAGAATGCAAATGGAAGACAAGAATGCTAGGAATTGCCGGTTTCATCCATTTCCACCAAGAGAAGCATCATTTTTCAAGACCCATGTCCTTGCATGTTTCCTCGTGTGTCTCTAGTTCATGTCCATTTCAAGGCGTGTCCTTTAAAAAAAAAAACGTTTTGTCGTGCAAAAAGAAAACGTGGTGCAGCTGCACGGCCCTATCATGCTCCCGTGGTTTTCAGCGGTCCGACAGGCCAGGAAACACGGAATTACCTCAGCAATCGGCATGAAATCTGAGGCTGTGCGTGCCGATGTCGTGCATGAAAAAACCCATCAAAACAGTGGTTTTTCAGTGCACAAGTGGGAAGTGGGACATAGGAAATGACCAGAAAGTTTGTATTTATATAAGGTTACACTATATTACCATCTGGTTATTTAACATAGCCATGGAAAATCACCATTTTTAATAGGTAAACCATCTATAAATGGGCCATTTTCCATGGCTATGTTAAATAACCAGAGGGTATATATATATATATAGTATATTCTCAATAAGTATGATGAAGTTTGTCTTAAGTCCGAACGGGCCCACATTGGCCATGTGTTGGAGTAAACCCAGTCAAGCCGAGTTTTCCTTCAATTCTTAGTGTCATTTCTGGTGGGAATCCCAGAAAGGTTGGTTCAAAATAAGCTACCGCATTCCACTGCTTCTTATTATCACGTTCCCATTCTGGGAAATTTCCATTGATGGTTGGAAAAAATAGGTGCAATTTTCAGACATCCCAAAATAGTTACCGTGGTTTCCCATGGTTTCCCATGGTTTCCCATGGTTTCCCATGGTTTCCCATGTCCCCTGAACGCTGCTCGCTGTGGCCTTATGGCTCCAAGGCGCTCCACACGGGATCCGCGGGCATACGCCAAAGGGTTTCGGAGGAGGCCCAAAGGCTTCCAGTGCCGGTGGATGGAAGCCATACAGCCCAGGGCATGTAGGTCCAGTGATGGGGAATCTGATGATAGATCCAACCTGACTTCGCCAAAGGATGCCAGATGCCAGCCAGATTAGTTTAGGAGAAGAGGGCAGTTTAACCGATAGGTTAATGTTGATGATTGATGATGTGGGAACATTCTGGAATAAGTATAATATAAGTATTAGGTATTCCCTAGGTCTTTTAATCGATGAGGAATCCATCGACATAGAGGGCCTCCCTTTGCACGATAGGCTTGGCCTTGCTATGGCCACATCGTGGGGATCATGAGGGGCATGGCAATTTGGTGCCAGTTAAATAGATGTGAAAGTGTGATGTGCTGCGCGTATTGTTCTGCAAAGACAAGAAAACAGTGTTGACACCTAGAGACGAAATGCAACAAAAAACTAATTATATATATGTGTGTGTGTGCGCGATATATTATATTATTATTTTATCATATCATATCATATGATATTGTATTAAATCATATTTTATTCTGTACTAAACATATCATACTATATTATATTATATTATGCTATATTGTGTTGTATTGTATCACATTAAATTACACTACACCATAATATATTATGTTCTATTCTATTCTGTTATATTGTATATCATATAATGACATGTTACATCGTATTATATAATATTATATATTATATTATGTTGTATGATATTATGTTGTATGATGATATATTGTATAATACTATTGTATTATATGTTTTGCAATTTATTATATATAATGAATATATTATGAAACGGTTTAAAGGGATGGAGGACCCCTGCGGATTTTGTAGGATGGGCCCATCTACATTATCAATTCTGGAAAAACAACCCACAAAGCTTCGTTAAACCCTGCCTTTTGAGGAAGCCGCAGGCACGCTGTTTGGGAGGCCGCAGGCACGCAAGAAGAACATGTTTCATCATAGATTTCCCAGAAACATCCCTTTTTGCAGTGTTTCACCACACTTGAAGCACCAAAAGCAAACCATTCAAAGTCCAAAAAGACGGGGAAGTTCATGGGTTTTCCCTTAAAATCCCCGAATTTCCCATGGAAATATTGGAAATCATCACCATCTTCCCCAGTCAAAAAGGGCAAAATTTTGATGCTTGGCTTTCATACCACCAATATCCACCAATCAAAAGGCCGACCACCTCCCTGCCGGAGCAGCTGTTCGGACCCTTGCTCAACAGGTAGACCACGCCAAAGCCTTCTCCGAGTCCACAGAATTTGCCGCCCATCTCAGCATAGCCTGCTGGCTGTGTGCTGAGAAAATGTTCTCCACACCTTTTGATGGGCGAAACCAAGAGATTCTAACAGATCCCATTACAATCCAAAAGGAATTATATGGCATAGTATATTTCCAAAAAAAAATACTTTGCTTCGAGTGATCCCCACCATGACATTTATACATTTTCTTACTGGCAAATCTTCTGACATTCTATCTGACATATCTTCTGACATTCTATTTGGCATTCTATCTGGCATATCTTCTGGCATATGATCTGGCATATCTTCTGGCATATTTTCTGGCATTCTATTTTCTGGCAAATCTTCTGGCATTTCTATCTGGCAATCTTCTGGCACTCTATCTGACATATCTTCTGGCATTCAATCTGGCATTCTATCTGGCCTATCTTCTGGCATCTATCTGACATAATCTTCTGGCATTCAATCTGGCATATCTTATCTTCTGGCATATATTCTGACATATGGCATTCTATTCTCTTCTGGGCATATCTATCTTCTGGCATATCATATCTTCTGGCATCTATCTGGAATATCTTCTGGCCTATATCTTCTGGCATTCTATCTGGCATTCATCTGGCATTCTTCTGGCATATCTTCTGGCATTCTATCTGGCATATCTTCTGGCATATATTCTGGCATATCTTCTGGCATTCTATCTGGCATTCTATTTGGCATTCTATCTGGCATATCTTCTGGCATATCTTCTGACATTCTGACATTCTTTCTGACATTCATTTCTGTCCCATATCTTCTGACATGACCTTTGTCCCATATCTTCCTACATGAGGTCCGGCAGGGAACACTTGGCGTGGATACTCGCGGTTGAGGTCCGGCAGGGAACACTGGGCGTGGATGGTCGTGGTTGAGGTCCGGCAGGAACACTGGGCGGGGATGATCACTGGGCGGGGATGGTCGTGGTTGAGGTCCGGCAGGGAACACTGGGCGTGGATGGTCGTGGTTGAGGTCCGACAGCGAACACTGTGGATCGCGAGTCGCAGTTGAGCAGGAGGACGAGGAGGACAACGAGACGAGGAGGACAACGAGAGGAGGAGGACAACGAGAGGAGGAGGACGACGAGAGGAGGAGGAGAGGAGGAGGAGGAGGAGCAGGCAACTTAGATAAAATCTAACAACCCTCACCTGGCAGGTGGGGAACTACAAGAAAATTGGATGAGTATGTCATTCATATTAAAAAGGCCATCATTCAATGTATGGGGGAAAGGGATTGCACTTGCACATTATATAACGGGGAGTTGTATGTGCCAAGTAGATCCAAGTAGTACTTATTCGGAAATCCGATGTATATAACCAGGTACGCCGAGCATGGTTGTGGATTACCTTACTGAGTGGGATGCACATCCAATCAGAGGTGATACGCTCATTGCCCGCATAGGCACTGGATTACACACGGCGTTGTTATATTCTCAGGAAAGACATACCCCAAACCTTTGAACAATGTTCAAGCTGCCAGCTGAAGCTGGTTTCTCTGAAAAAACAGCACCCATGGTAAGCCCATGGGAATTCAAAACTCGCCCATTACATTGCCATTTACAAGTGGTGAATTCCCCATGTTCAGATGCACCTGCACCACGATGTAAGTCACCCATCCTTTTAAAGGACAAAATATACAAAATCCACCAACCATATACCCCCGGCATCCGGAAATATGACTGATAAATCATGGTTCTTGGAATTCAAATATCCATGGTAATGATTGCGGTTGCTTTTGATTTAAAAAAACACCTTAAATCCAACTATATTAAAATCACCATTAAACATCATTAAACGCCCTTAGGACCCCAATAAACCCCAATAAATTGAAGGGATCTCTCTGAAATTCCATGGTTTTCTTCCTGGTGCTCCCTGGAGGATCATCCCACTCCTCGTGGTTCATACTCCTCGTGATCGAGAGGGTCCCGTGGATTCTCTCATTTATGGCAACATTAACTCCACAAACACCACTTACCCTCTGGTTATGACTAACATAGCCATGGTATAGATGACCCATAGAAATAGATGGTTTACCTGAGTTTACCCGTTCTTAATAGCATGGTGGATCTTTCCATGGCTATGTTAATCATAACAGATGTCATAACCAGAGGGTACGGGGAAGCATGGGATGATCCTCCAAGGATTCATGATCCCATGATCCCAGGATTCTCCCATCGTCCCATTATGAAAATGTCAACCCTGGATGAATTTCAACCCCTAGCCGGGCTGATTCATTGGGAGGCTACCATATATTTAAGTATCAGAGAATGACTATTGGAGGAGTACCCCCTAATTACCCTCTGGTAATTTAACGTAGCTATTGGAAATGACCATTAATAGTGGATTTTCCCATTAAAAATGGTGATTTTCAATAGCTATGTTAAATTACCAGAGGGTAAACCATGGTTTAGTCTCATCCGGGGTTGACACTACCGCGGTGAGTTCGGGCCCCCAGGGCCACCTTTGTGCACTGCGTCGGTGATTAGCTTGGCCCAGGCCGCACCCTTGGCCCGCAACCGCTTCAGCGAGAAGATCTGCATGGGCAGAGCTAGCACCTGCCGCAGCCAGGTGCGGACCCCTGGATTTTGTGGCAAAAAAAGGTGGGAAAACCATGGGAAAAGCAAAAAAAAAAACGTGGAAAAAACACCTGCTCTAGATTCTTGATTTTCTAGCATCCCAAATTTAGATCGTGTCCTTGGGAAAATCCAACCATTTAATTAATTATCTAGAACCGATTATTTAGTAAAGATTATGAATCAAAGTTCCTTGTACCAGTAACTATGCCTACGGCCCCTAGGTGAACATTGAAATGGGCTCATCCCACACCTGTGATTGCCGCCGGAGAAAAAAAAAAACAATCTTTGAAGAGCGCCTCATAGCTGACATAGTACCTCTGCTCGGATATGCTTTTTGCCATAAAATCAGCCGGCCCTAGCCATCCTACTTGCTTGCCATACAGATTGGCTGCATTTCCGATTCTATGTGATACTGTACTTACTTCGTATATGCTGCCTATATCTGCCTATACGGCCCAAAACACCTGCTATGTACTTCTGCCAGCCACATACCAGCTCAGCATCCTACCATCCTCACCTGATCATCTGCCACTGCGAGGAAGTCGTCCTACATCACAAGGGCAACGGGGTGGGTAATCTTCAGCCCGATGGCCCCGGTGTTTCCGCTCGAGCTATGCGCAATCAATGGGGGAAAAACAGACATGTGTGGAAGTCTTTACCCTCTGGTAAACTAACATAGCTATTGAAAATGGCCATTAATAGTGGATTTTCCCACTAAAAATTGTGATTTTCCATAGCTATGTTAAATTACCAGAGGGTAATCAACTGGAAATATTCATCTTCCCTGGCCCCCATAGCTCCCAAAAATGTCTCTGATGATTTTGAATATAAAAAAAATCAACATCATCAATCATCACAAATCACCAATCACGATGAATCGTCAATCACCATTGCCATAAATCATCACAAATTATCAACTGTCAATCATCACCAATCATCATCCTCCAAATCATAAATTCACGGTAAATCATCCTATATAATTCACCCTAAACTACCGTAATTCAATCACCCAAAAATCACCCAAAAATCGCCATAAATCATCCGATTAATCATCCGATTAATAATCCTACAGAATCCTACATCGCCATCATCCTAGATCTCAAACAGCGTCAAAAAATATGAAAGTCAATGGGAAGGATGACATCCCATATTATGGAAAATAAAAAATGTTTGAAACCACCAACCAGTATATGTTGATTTACCCATTAAAAACTGGATGATCCCCCCTCCCCTCATCCCAAAAAAAGTCCTCGTCCAAGTGCTCCAGATGCTCTGCCAGTTCCGCTGGGTCGGCCAGGAAAACGTAGTCTCCTGCGGATGGGATCATCGGATCTGCTACCATGCCATTGAAATATATAGGAGATAGATGGATATAGATTAATATAGTAGTTATATATAGTTATAATATATATAGCATAGATTAATATAGTAGTTATAGTTATAGTATAGCAGTATAGCATAGATAAATTATATAATATAGTATAGCACATCCCAAAAGATAGAAAAATCAAGTCTCGATTCATGATAGTGATAGTGATTGATTAAACTTTTAGATGTTCTTTGGGGGATGACTATAGGTTGGTCCTGCAAATCTTCCCATGCAATTCTGGGAACTGGGAAATTAACATTATCAAACCATATTCAACCATAAGAATCCTGAAAAACAAACGTAATGTTAAATACCCAGATTCTGGACCTCAAAATGAATGGACCAAATACTAAACCACTGGGTCCACCGCGGTAATTTATATATATATATATATATGTGTGTGTGTGTTAATTAAATATTAAAGGATAGTGTTCTATACTTTTCTCGGGGCTGTTCAATGTCGTTCACCCCATTCGTGACTGGAGAAATTGGACCATATGGTGCCAGCAAACGGGGGCCACTTCTCAATTTCCAGAGCGGCTCCAGCATCCACCCAGATCAGCGCATCTTCAGCTTCGGATTGGGGCACCACCAGGTGAGGAAACATCCGCAGCCATCCTGCGACGTTGGGTGGCGGAGGTGGCATGAAACGCACCGACAAATGTTCAAGCGGAAAGGGATTCACAGATTCACACGATCCTGGGGAAAAAAAAAGGTTGAAAAAAAAACAACACAACAACAACTCTTCAATTCTTCTATATTATTCTGACTTTGCAGGCTCTTCCAGTTCTGTTCCGAGGCCGCTCCCAAGGCCCCAGCTTCCCAGCTTCCCCACACCATTGCGCTCCTGCACTGCCGTAGTGACTGGAGAACTGCAAGCAATCCTCCGGCACCAGCGCGTGGATTTCTTGCCAGGCATCGAGCTCCTCCTGCTGGTAGAAACGGAAGGAACCTGCGATGTGCGGAAGGAAACTTGCGGATTTTTTCGGTCGGGATTACCACCATAAATTGCCTTTTCAAGAGGGAACATTACCCCTCTGGTAAACTAACATAACTATGGAAAATCATCATTTTTAATAGGGAAATCAACTATAAATGGGCAATTTTCAATAGCTATGTTAGTTTACCCGAGGGTATATTCAACCAAATTTGAAGGGTGTCCCTCTCAAATTGTCACATAAACCCATGAAGGTGGGTGACGGGAAGATTTCAAACGTGTGCACCATCGCGGCAAAGCCGGTTTCCCCTGGAACCCTCCGCAGCCTTTGGCCCTTAAATTGGGTTCCAGCTCCTGACCATGGGAAAGCAAAGTGATCGCTTGACTGCAAAAAACCATCGGCCTCGAGACTCCTTCTTTCTCTTTTCCTCCTTCCTCCTCCTCCTCAGTATCATCATCATTGTCTCCCTTCAAAAATCTCGAGGCTGGAGACTGTCTCCGGGTCTAGTTTCCAGGTCAGTCGGTCACTATGAACCATAGCCATATTCACCTCCGGTAGTCACCAGCAAATCACCAACTTGATATCCATCATTTCGACTCCTTCACGGCTTCCTCACATCCTCCTCCCCACGTGTATGGCCATGTGTTCACCATTCTATTTACCCCTTCCCCCCCATTCATCAAATTTTCACCCATCAACCCCATGAACATTGCCAAACTCAGCTACCCAATCATCGCCCATCCTATCATATCCCATCATTCTCTCCAGTAGTCACTAATCGAACATATATAATCCCATGATATCCCATGATTATCCCTATGAAAACTGGAAAAAAACACATACAACCCCATCATATCCCATCATTCTCTCACATCAAACCCATATTAAACATTGTTAAACCACAAAAAATCGCATCCCCCATCGACCCCATCGGCCCCATCCCATCTCCTTTAAAGCTTCCTTCACGTCCTGCTCCCCCAGGCCATCCACCACCAGGTGGAATCGCAACGGCCGTGTCTCCGCGAAGAACAGCGCCGAGCGGATGCCGGCCAGCGCCTTGCGGCCGAAGGCCGGGAAGCCCACGGAGGCCACCTGGCGGTATGTGCAAATGTGTATGTATATACCTGAATCTTCATTCGGACATTAATGTCTGCCTTTTCAACATTATATGCCTGAAGGGGGTGTCGGACAGAAAATCTGACTGCGGGCGGAATTCAGTTTCAACAATCGAAAACATTGAAATGCTGTATTTTTGGGGAAAATGAATTCGGGCGGAATTGCACGTGATTCGGGCGGAAACACACGTGATTCAGGCGTAAATGGCCGTAACGATTTTTTTGAGAACACAAAGATAATTTTTTGGCTAAAGTGGGTTCGGGCGGAATTTGGAGCCTTAGGCGGAATCCTCAGATTCGGGCAGATTTCCTGACTGAATGCATTCAGACTGAAATTACTGACTGCACGAAGATCTAGGTATATGTGTGTGTGTGTTGCACATAAATATGTGCCATTACAATATCTATATATATATACATATGTATATATATATAGATATATAGATGGTTTGTAAAAAATATATATATGACTTGAAACATGAGAGCAAGGTTGAGTCCCTTCAGGTCGTGGTCTCATCCGTCACGTCCGCACCATGGCCAGGTGCACCGGCGCGCCATCGCCCCCGGCGCGCCACTGCAGCAGGGAGCGTTCCTGCAGCAGCTGCCACCAGCGGCTGCTGGCGCTGCGGAAAAGCTCCCGCGCCTGACCACGCCATCTGTCACCAAGGGAAGATTACATTTGGGGGTTTCCTAAAATTGGGGATCCCCAATTATATCAATTATGTAGGTTTCAATACTCAATGGGAATTGGAATTACTATTGGGAATTCCAGGATCTTAAATTGGAGGTACTGTACCATTTTTCAGGCCATTTTTTTGGGGGATATTCCCTAAAAAATAGGCCTAAAAAAAAGGCCTTATATGGCCTTATATATGGTAGGTACCTCCAATTTAGGATCCTGGAATGGCCATTGATTTGGGGGTTTCCGAAAATTGGGGATCCCCAATACCGTAGGTCTCAATACTAAACTGACTTAATTTTGGATGATTTGGGGCCATTTGGGGTACCCCTATTGAAGGAAACCACAATTTATGGTAATAATGGGATATAACAAACAATAATGGGTGAAGAATGTGTTGTATGATTGTTGAAGCTATAGAAATTCCAACATATATCCCACATAATCCAACAGGTGGCCTAGTTATGCTTATCAACAGAAATCATCAGAAATCTACCTGTCGTATGTTGATTGCTAAAAATGTTGGGAGGCATATCACCCTTCGGTAACCAAACATGATCAAACATGGCAAGCCGGAAATCCCCGCACTAAATGGAGCTTTGGATGGGGAACTCAACTTTAAATGGTGAATTTCCCATGCATTATCGTATGTGCTAAGCGTAGAATATTATACATCCTGATTCATCTATTTTCCATCATTTATTCTGCACTATTCATCCATCATCATGATTACCAATAGATATCATCTTCTTCCCAAAATTACACCTGGAATGGCATAATTAAATTTAATTAACATGTATTCCTAATGATACAACAATTATTCCCCATGTTTGAGCCATAGGTAAATTCTCAACCATAGATATCATGAAATGGATACTCATGATTAACAGGAATACATTCATTCTTCATGAAATCATTTTCCGTTACTCGCCCATTATCATTCATGGAATATATCCGAAGATATTTGTATATTATCAATATTGCCATAGATAACCATAATTCTGTAAGTATACCCTGCAGTAAATTAACATAGACCCTGCCAGATAGGGGTTGGAAGACTAGTTTCCACTAAACAATTGGTGATTTTCTGGGTCGAACTGTGAATTTACCAGAGGCTACTTATTATCAATAAATAATTATGCTAATTATATATCCCTAGGTATAATCAATGTTCTTAATTATACATATTCTCCATAGATATTTCATCAATATCTATGCCATAAAATATCATAATATATACATATCTATATCTATAATCCCTAAAAAATACCTTCTGGTTATTTAACATAGCCATGGTATAGATGGCCCATAGAAATAGATGGTTTACCTATTAAAAATGTTGATTTTCCATGATTTTCCATGGCTATATTAAATAACCAGATGGTAACTATATAACCATATTTTTCATTCTCCATACCCTCTGGTAAACTAACATAACTATGGAAAATCACCATTTTCAATGGGAAAATCCACTACAAATCACCCTTTTCAATAGCTATGTTAATTTACCAGATGGTATATCCCACTAATATTCCCATGATTTTCCCATATAAAACCATATAAAACCTCCATTTCTGGTGGATCAACCTCCATTTTCATTCTCCATAGATCTCATCTTCCCTGTTTTCCCGATCTTCTCGCCTGGAACGCCAGGCTGTGCCAAGGCGATAGCCACGTCAAGGCCACCTGCAGCAGCGCGACTCTCCATGCCTGGCCGGAGCAACGTTGTGGTCCCGGTAAGGGGCCTAAACCTATCCCCAAAATGGGGAAATCACCAGCAGAATCTCGATTCAAGATGATATAAGATGGTTTGAGCTGGTTTAACTTGCATGTAAAATGGGCAAAAAGGGTCAAAAAGGCTGGACTCCAGTACCAAAACTTCGGGATTTCAGTGGCAAAATATAGGGCTTTCCCCACCTGAAGGCTGAACTCGCCGTCGTCCACCAAATCTAACCACCCAAAGCGGAAGATGGGAGACAACGATGAGGACAAGGCCACCTGAGGGAGCTGCCAGGATGGCATTGATGGTCCTAGGTCCATCAATGAGTCCAAAAAAAAATGAAACGTCCATCTTAGATAACCCCATTATAATATTGTTTGTGAAATCTCTGAATGTGGTAATCCCATAAAAAAAACAACTAAAATTTAGGTGTCATTTTACATCCAATAAAGATGGTAATCACCCAATGCCTTAAAACCTACCACTCTCTCTCTCTCTCTCTATCACCTTCAGGCAGATGTCTGCCCCAGTCCCTTGTTGGGATAGTTCATTATTGGGTTTACCACACGAATCGAATATTGTAAATAGCCACAAATAGCCTATGTTAAGTTGCATCCCACGTGTATTTCCATTGATTTTACGTATGGATTTCTTAATCCCACAGTGTCATTTCCATACAGGTTTCCCATGTATAATTTCCACTTGGATTTCCATCTTATCGAACTATTTCCATAGTTGCCTCCCGTTGATTTTTTCAATTTTCCATTGTACCATCTGGTTATTTAACATAGCCATGGAAAATCATGGAAAATCACCATTTTTAATAGGTAAACCATCTATAAATGGGCCATCGAAAAACCATGGCTATGTTAAATAACCAGAGGGTATATTTATAGGGATTATAGATATAGATATGTATATATTATGATATTTTATTTAACATAGCCATGGAAAATCATGGAAAATCACCATTTTTAATAGGTAATCCATCTATTTCTATGGGCCATCGAAAAACCATGGCTATGTTAGTCATAACCAGAGGGTATATTTATAGGGATTATAGATATAGATATGTATATATTATGATATTTTATTTAACATAGCCATGGTTAAAATCATGGAAAATCACCATTTTTCCCACATCTTCCCACAGTTCATGATCCCAAAGCGTCTCCCCTTTTGGAGTCGCTGAAATGCACCTCAGCTGCCCGCATGAACGGATCACAGGCTGGCGACGTCGCGCAGTCCATGGCGGACTCGGTCGCCTCGCCATGTGGCGGCCATGGGAGCGCCGTGGTGGGATGGTGGCATGGTGGGAAAAGATGAGGGAACTATTCAATGGGAGATCTCCAGGATCCTAAAATGGAGGTACGTTAGTACCATTTTTCAGGCCATATTTTGTGATATTCCCTAAAAAATAGGCCTAAAAAATCGGCCTTATATATGGAATCGGTACCTCCATTTTAGGATCCTGAAATTCCCATTGAACTATGGGGACAATGATGGGGGAACTATAGGATAGCTATGGATAGCTTACGTGTGGTAAGCTAAATGGGAGATTTTGGGGTGATGATCGGTATGGTTCTGGACTGGGTAAAGGGGTGTTTTTGATTTTCTGTGATCGTTGTGGTTGCGGTTATCATTCAAAGGCAGTTTCACCCATCATTTTCGTGGAAAACATGGCTGATGCTAGCTGGATAAACCCCCAATACCTGGATATTTACATATTCATCTGTAAATATGATTTTTCCATTGCCATGCTTGATTACCGGAGAGTATGATATTGGATTACACTGAGTACTTGATTTCTTTAATAATGGCCAAATCTGATGACTGTGCGTCTTCATTTTTTGTTGGTTATGGTCCTGGTTTGTGAAAAACATAAGAAATCGATTATGGTTGTGTCTGTGTTCCTTCTAATACATTGGAATATGTTTTTGAACTCACCCATAGTAAACTCTCTCCAGCAACGTCAACCCCAGGTTCATAAATCCTGATGAATTACGGGCGTTCCCCCCAATAGAGCTAATTAATATACTTTGCCACTTAAATTGTTTGTGCCCCTCCAATTAAACAGCCTAGGGATGCCTAGGGGGTTGCTAATCCGGCAATAACATGAACCATTCATGTGTGGATCATCTTACGTTACCCCAGGTCATCCCAAATGGGGGTATATCATCCAACAACTAACTTTTTCGTCTGGGTCTTTTATCATCAAATAACGATTCATATACGTTTCCCTGCGTGTCCTTGCGCTCTTCGGTGTTTTTATCATGTTCTACTAACTAGACAAGTTTTGTATTTAATAAGGGGTTGCCGGGGGCATGCTGCTCAAGGAAGTATTTGATGGTTTCAGTGTTCCACTCCGCTCTGCAATTTCAGCTCATCGTCGCAACCTCAGCAAGGAAGATAAGAATACTTCACGGGAAACGATTCCCGTGATGGGGGTGTTCATGCGAGGCAAAATTTTGGCGGAATCAAAGACATACAAGATTATTCCCATGACAGGAAAAGGAAATTCACTTTGGGCGTCCTCACTCGTTCTTCTTGGATGTGGCCCAAAGCTATCGAGCTGTAAAAATGTTACTTCCAGACTTCCAGAGTCTTGTAGTGATGCCTGTCCAACATGGCAAAACGACCTAAAGAGAAACTTGCGCTTACCTTGCGCTAGACTTGCGTTCAAAACAGGCTTTGCAGAGAAACAAATCTGATAATTAAAACGATTCATCTCCCTCGGAAAAACCCGTGACAATTAAAGACAGGACTGGCTCCTTTTTGGCTCGGGGGGACCGTTTGGGAATCAAACTTCTATTTAGCTACTACACTCTCCTTCTACCATACCTCTTGAAATTTGATTCGCGTGGGGCTCCTTTTTGGCTCGGGGAGGTGGGTTTTGGGACCCAAACTTCTATGTAAGCTACTACACTCTCCTTCTACCATACCTCTTGCAATTTGATTCGCGTGGGGCTCCTTTTTGGCTCGGGGGGGCGGGTTTGGAAATCAAACTTCTATGTAAGCTACTACACTCTCCTTCTACCATACTTCTTGAAATTTGATTCGCGTGGGGCTCCTTTTTGGCTCCGGGAGATGGGTTTTGGGAATCAAGCTTCTATGACACTCTCCTTCTACCATACCTCTTGAAATTTGATTCGCGTAAGCCTCCTTTCAGGCTCGAAAAGGTGGGTTTTGGGAATCAAACTTCTATGACACTCTCCTTCTACCATACCTCTTGAAATTTGATTCGCGTAAGCCTCCTTTCAGGCTCGAAAAGGTGGGTTTTGGGAATCAAACTTCTATGACACTCTCCTTCTACCATACCTCTTGAAATTTGATTCGCGTAAGCCTCCTTTCAGGCTCGAAAAGGTGGGTTTTGGGAATCAAACTTCTATGACACTCTCCTTCTACCATACCTCTTGAAATTTGATTCGCGTAAGCCTCCTTTCAGGCTCGAAAAGGTGGGTTTTGGGAATCAAACTTCTATGACACTCTCCTTCTACCATACCTCTTGAAATTTGATTCGCGTAAGCCTCCTTTCAGGCTCGAAAAGGTGGGTTTTGGGAATCAAACTTCTATGACACTCTCCTTCTACCATACCTCTTGAAATTTGATTATCAAACAAACTTCTATGGCCCGCGGGGCCAGGCTTCTGCTGAAGGACACCATTCGGGAATCAATCAAATTTAATCAATGCTTGTCCAGGACCTCAGCACCTGGTTTCCAAGAAATTGAATCGATGCTAAACGCGCTCAATACGTTTCAAAACCACATATATACCACATATCCTAATTTAAAACAAAAATCCTACTGTATCTTGCGCCCGCCATTGGGTTTGATTGCGTGCCTGAAGCCACACACGCACCACAAAATGGCAACAACATAACCCACAGGGCCACCTCCACGATGCGCAGTAGCTCCTGGACTGCTGCTTCAATGCCCTGCTGCAGTTCTTCCTCAAGGCCAGCCCAGTTGGAGCTTCAACATGGGTACCCTCTGGTTATGTCAAAATAGCTATTGAAAATGGCCATTTATAGTGGGTTTTCCCATTAAAAATTGTGATTTTCCATAGCTATGTTAAATTACCAGAGGGTAATGCCCCGAACTACATGGAGGTCTTGTGTTGAAATATAGTGGGAATAGGATGGAAATATCATGGGGATAACGGAATATCATAACCTAGGTGACGTTTATGGATTGTAGGAACGTTAGAGTAATCCCCAGAAAGTGGGGAAATGGAATATACTGTTATGAACAAAACCGATCGAATTGTTTCCATACAAACTGGTTGAGTGTGGCAGTTTCGGCCCTACCTCTCGGGTTGTCAGGGTGCCATGCAATGTGGCAAACCCACATTGTCACATTACACAAACCATTGTTTCAGAAGCTAGGGGCTTAAGATCCCCCAAATGATAAGTGGTGGTAAATCGAAAATGGATGAACATGGTCCACTCAGATTACAACAATATTGGGCTTACCACATTGCCTCCAGTACTCTCTCTGGTAACTACCCTGGAAGCGGATCTGCCTCAACATGACGATCATTCCTGGAACATCATGGGTAAATCCTCGGTAAACATGAACGTGGAAAGTCGTTTTGGCAATGGTCATTGTACCTTAACTTTACCGTAAGCTACATCTACAGCAACTACCTCATCACGCCCTCATCATTATCAATGCGTGGGTCGTTGTCATTTGGGTATGGGTCATGAACCCCAGCAGCCGGGCGTGGCATGTAACCAGCGAAAGAAAAGAGCAAACCGTCACAGACGACTACGATCACCAAATCAAACCTGGTGGCATTTTGACACAGTACCGTATACGGTAGTGATACCCGCCTTGATTGAGGGGTAGGAACCCTTACCCCACCATTCCATCAAAATCTGGTTTATGTAATGGTTGGGTGCGGGTATTTCTTTTAGAATGGATACTTTTTTGGGTTTATATACAATGGAAGACCACTATTGTACTACCTAGATCTACCTAGCAGGCCGGATGTCCCAAAAAAATTGTTTCCCACTAAGAGACTATGTTGTGGAAATGACGTAACAGTTACATGTTGAAACAATGTAAACTTGATTTATATGTTATGGAACGGGCCGCATCTTGAAGGGATCATTTTAAGATATCTTAAGATGGAAGGCGGCCAAATCCTGGAAGGCCAAATCCTGGACGCAGAAAAACATTGACCAAATTTTAGCGTTTCTCCATCCAACCTTCCAACTTTTATATCATGGTAGCCATTTTGCAGACACATTTCCATTATGGAAGCACCGATTTTGGGCCTAATGAAACCAAGGGATAATGCAATTTTATATAATGGATTGGCACCCCCTTTTTATGAAATGGATGGTGCGGAGTACCAAGATTCAAAAGTATTTTGCTTATTTTGCCCACATGTACCTGGGTTTCCATTTTATACGGTGCATGGGTTGTTCCATTCCATGGGGCTTCAACCAAGGGGGTGTAATGATAAGAAAGAAAGAAAGAAAGAAAAAAAGAAAGAAAGAAAGAAAGAAGGGAAACAGGAAGGAAAGAAGAAAACCAAACAAAAAGGAAAAAAAACATGCAAAATACCCATATACATCATATACTGTAAACACATATTAAAAAAAAAAAACGCATCAACAGCATCCCACAGCCATGCCACCCACTGCGGGGAGCTGCGCTGGATGCTCGCCAAATGCCCGCAGCAGGCCTGGCGCAGCGGCACCATGGCAGGCACGGCGCATTCGGCCAGCTGCACCGGCTCGCTACAACAGGCCGCCTGGCTGAAACGCTTAGCGTCGTTGGGGCCGGTGTCACCGGTGGAGACGCGTTTTCCCATTGGTTTTTTTCCGTCAAGGCCTCCATGGGGAGGATTTCTGATTGCCACGTTTGATTGCCACGTTTGGTTAGAGTTTTTGAGAGATAGTTTGTTATTAGTACTATATCATGTACCCATGTATGTCCCATAAAGAACAGTAAACAAAGTTGTGCCTGCCAACTTAGATATCTTAGATATGCCATCCCCCCCTTCACACTGAACACCCCCAAGAAGTCATGGTGGATGATGGGGATGAAACCACATATTTGGGACCAAATAATGGGGATGTTTAATATTGGGATGATGGGATTAGGAATGCCAATGGGGTATCAATGGGTATCACCTTCATTTACAGTAGATCTAAAGATATGCGTGTGTGTTTGCATGTATTTATGTATATGTATGAATGTACATGTGCATATATGTATTTATACATATGTATGTACAAGTATACACGCATGTGCATATATATATATTATTTATTTACTTATTTATTTATGTACATGCATATGTATGTATATATATATATATGTGTGTGTGCGCATGTAAGAATATGCATATATATATATATATATGTGTGTGTGCATGTAAGAATATGCAAATATATATTTATATATATGTATATGTATATGTATATATATATATATATATGTACGTGTATATATAAATAATACATATATATATACATATATATATATATATGCACATACATATGTATGTATAAATATATATATACATACATATGTATGTATATATATATATATGTGTGTGTGTGTGTATGTGTGTGTGCTTCAGTAAGCCAAATTCTGACGATGCCAAGGTGTGTTTGGCTGTCCAAAAAGAGTGGATACTCCCAAATATATGGCTGGATGTCGAGAAGTACGGTCTCTGACCCACACAAAACAACTCCACACCAAGATCTTCAATTATCGCCATTTCTTCTCCCATGTCTCCCGCCAAAATGTTAGCAAAATAGATTTTCAAAAGAAATACAAAAAAACATAAACAAACATTACCCTCTGGTAAACTAACATAGCTATGGAAAATCACCATTTTCAATCGGAAAATCCATTATAAATCACCATTTTCAACAGCTATGTTAAATTACCAGAGGGTACACCAAAACGTTCAGCATGCTGTCCTTATGCCAACTCTTCGACGCCAAAACTTCGACGGCCGCACCTGGATCTCGGCACCTTCACCTCAAAGATTGACACGGCGGAGTTCGTCAATGGCTTCTCTCTTTCTGGGGAAATATCACTTGACACAACATTTGAAGGGTTTGATTGGGAATGCAAATGACACACTTATATATATATTATAGGAAATATCTAGCATAGGCATCAGCAATTTCGGCCCTGAAAGCCTACATTTGAACTGACCAACCATGGAAGCCACAAAAAATAGATATTGAAATAACTACTTACCAGGCAGTTTAGCTTTAAATCATCTTGCAAAGTTTAAGGCTTGTTGGGTAGAGGGTTGATCTGACAAATTCTGTGACCCACCGGGGCTAGTGGTGATAGCCAAAGCTTTCGGTGACGCGATATTCCAGCCACAAAAAAAGGAATTCTGCATCCTTTAGGTGTACATTGCATATAATATGGATAATTATCACAAATGCAAGTACATGTGCACCATATATATTATTCAGAATAAACTACCCAAATTCACAAACCTGATAGTTAGCCTTACTTACCTATATATATATACTTACATAATCTTACTAATCTTACATACATATATAATAATTATCGCACATTGCCCCGGTCATTGGCGGCCTATCCCATGCCCTGGCGCCTATGGAGTTCCAACACTTGGGCACAGGTGCCAAATTGACGTTGTCCGCGGACCATGGCACCATGGCACCATGACCGCCCGGGCCCAGGAGATGACACGATGGAAACCAGGTGGAATTCAATGGATTTGTTGGAAAATCCTGCAGGAAACCATGGGTTCTTACCCCAAATGTAGACATATAGAAGTTTCCTCCAAAATTTCCAATCATCCAATTCTAAGCTCGACTGGGAACTTAGGGAATCCAATGGCTTTCCAACGCTAAGACTACATGTAAGGATTGCTGAGGTTTTATCTCAAAGAAATAGCAGTGTAATGTGATGTATCATTTGGTGTGGTTTGTTGCTGGGGGTTGTCAGAAGAATAATGTCCATTGAGGAAACCATCCAGTCAAACCCGCCATACGTAGCCTCCAGACGTCCCACCAGCAATTGCCACCTTTGAGTCGTGTGAAAGTGCGCTTTAAGCCATCCAATAAGTGGTAGGTACGTGGCCCCAGCATCCTTGGTACATAGTGCTGCATCAACGTCCTACAGGATCTGTGGGCCCCTTTGGACCAAAATGCTCCTTGTCCATGATCCGCAAGACAATCCTACCGAATCCTACCCCTTGATGTAATTAAAATATATTTAAATAGGTTACAGTAAATGTGCCCAACGGGCCCGGGGCCCCGAAATGACTAGATCCAAGACTAAACCAGGGTTTCATTTGGATGGTTAACGGCGGATTACAGAATGTATTGGTAACTTGTATATATTTGGCACTGTTCCACTGTCGAGTTCCAAAGTTCTTGGCAAGGGGGCCTCTCTTGCCTAACTTCTCTCTCCCTGAGGATGTGTTTGGGTGGAGCCAAATCTGCTCCAACCAAAGCCACTGCACAGCCGCTGATAGAATCATGGGTGCGCAGGCAGTTTTGTATCTGGAGGGCTCCTGCGAATCTGTTCTCTGCACAAACTGGCTACACAATCTATTTAAATTTAAAATTCAGCTGCAGCACACGTGTCAACCAACAGGGCAAGTACTCACAGGAGTACAGGGGGCACTGTGCAGAAATCTCACCTCTAGCATGACTAGCGCAAGGACTTTAGCAACCTCTGGGTGGTCTGCGATTTCATCACAGATGCTCCTGCTTTACCCACACGCTTGGCCTTGCGGTCCAAGAGCTCCGACAAGTCTCGTGGGAGGCCCGGCAAACGGCGGTGCTGCTGCAAGTCACCTGCCAATCCAACGACTGCGATGCCATCGTTCATCTTTTGGAGGAGCTCGCTATCGATTTGAACTTCAATCATCTTCAACGTCCTATACTCGCACGAGTCTGTGTCCAAAGCCTCACGCACTGCATGGGGCCAGTTGGCTGCCGCAGCTGCCAAGAACAGGAACGTGAGTGCCACTTGAAGTTTCATGACTTCACGGCTTCTTGAGCCAGAGTTTGTGGAAAGTGAAAAAAGGAAGGCTGGATCAAAGCTAAAAGATGTTTGATTAACTGATTCCAGCACCCGGTAATAAATGGAAATTTCTGCTGACCGCGGCCGACCGCAAGGGGGAGGGCGTGAGGGCAGAGATGTTGTGAAGAAGAAGAAGAACAACAACAACACCATCACTTTGTTTTTCTTCTACCAGTCCAAGGGTTTCAGAAGCAACGTTGGGCAGCTTTCCCGTTTATAAACAATTCTGAACCTGGGAATGCTTCTTTCGCTATGTTTTGGGAACAAAATTAGGTTGTTGTTTTGCCGCTACGCAGGCGCCACGCAGGCATAAAGGCATATTTGCTTGTGCTTGGCGGGTTCGCTGGCTGCAAGATGTGGCAAGCAGCAAGGAAAAAGTGAAAACTGACAGTTTTAATAGCGTTTCAGAAGGGGCGTTAGGAAGTTTTGGGGGCTTCCATTGCTCTCTGTTTTGTGAGCGAAATTATAATTAGATGGTGGAGGCGCCCCAACGGCATGTAGCTTGTGCTCGGCGGGCCCCACTGCCTCCTAGATGAAACAGCTATAACAGCTGGAAAAAAACTGAAAGCTTACAATTTTAGTCGCATTATTGGTGCTTCTTTTGCTACGTATTGGGAACAAAATTAGGTGGAGTTTCGGTGCCCCAACCACATGTAGCTTCTGCTTGGCAGGCTCGCTGGCTGCCAGATGTAGCAAACAGCTGGAAAAACTGAAAACTGACAGTTTTAGTAGCGTTTCAGAAGGGCATTAAAAAGTTTTTGGGGTTTCTTTTGCTACATTTTGGGGCTCCGTTTTGGCAACAAAATTATTTTATTGTTTTGCCGATTCGGAGATACCATAATGATGTATTTGTGTTTGAGGGGCTTGCTGGCTGCAAGATATTGCAAACACCTTGAAAAAGCTGAAAGCTGAAAGTTTTAGTAGGGTTTCAGAAGGGACGTTACGTAGTTTTTTGATTTTTTTGCTACATTTTAAGAACGAAATTACGTTGTGTTTTGTGTAGCATGTGCTTGGCGGGCTCCACTGCCTGCTGGATGTGGCAAACAGCTGGAAAAACTGAAAACTTACAGGTTTAGTAGCATTTCAGAAGGGGCATTTAAGAGTTTCTGCGGCTTCTTTTGCTACGTTTTGGGAACGAAATTAGGTGGTACTTTAATGTTTCGCAAGCGCCCCTACGGCATGTAGATTGTGCTCGGCGGGCTCCATTGCCTCCTATCTGAAGCAGCTGGAAAAAGCTGAAAACCGTCAGTTTTTGTAGGGTTTCAAAAGGGACGTGAGGGAGTTTTCGGGGCTTCTATTGCTACGTTTTTGGGAACACCATTAAAGGTGGTGCTTTGATGTTTCGCAGGAACCCCAACGGCATGTAACTTGTGATTGGTTTGAGGATAGGTTTCTGAAAGAAAGCGGGTGAATCTGCAAAAAAACTGGGAAAATTACATAGCCCACAGCGGGCGACATTCTGGGCAACAACAGCAACCCTTGAGGCATCGCCGGTGTGCGAAGCCTTACAATATGCTCTTAAATTCTTGATGATTCTCACTGCCGGCAAAATCAATCGTATCCAACAGCGGCTCTTTGTCTTCCGCAGCAAAATGCCAAACACATCCCGGCTCTGACCAACAAGGGTGGCTTGAGAATCAGCACGAAGTCCATGGGCATCTGCTTGTGCTTCTCCCTAGGCGCCCGGTGCAGTAGAAAAATTTGTTGAGATGCAAATGCATCCAATATGCATAAGACTCATGAGATGCATGGATTTCCTGAAGCTCTTCAAACCAAACGATCCAATGTTTTTTTGACAACTTTGTTCCCCTTTGTTCCCCTTTGTTCCCTGCATCCAGCTCTTCGGGCCTGAGTGATCCATTGCAAGGTCTTGTCTTCACAAGCCACTCGTCCATCCAGACTTGTCGCAATCTTCAGGACCACAAATGGCCTCTGCTGAGTGTTGCTGAAATGCTTCGGCTTGGATGGGCTATGTGGGCAGTTTGTAGGCTGCCAGCTGAGAGGTTTTCGACTTTGTTATCAAGACAACATGCGTAAACTGTCACCATGATTCCAGGCACAACAGAGCAACAGCAAAGCATCAGGCTCGGGCCTCTGCAACTCCCACATCCACCTGGCGAAGTTCCAAACTTAGATTGGGATTGGCACATCGCACAAATGTTGGTCCGGCAATGGCAGTCCAGTGATGGCAGTCCAGGGCAGTCCAGCGCACAGTCTTGGCGTCTTCGCATGTCGTCTCCGAGCTGCGGAGCTCAGTCGGTGAAACGCAGTTCGTCGGCTCGGTGCTCCAGCTCCTCCACCACATCCTGACGCAGTCACTGCCATGGCCAGTTGGAAAAATTCTGCAGTATCAATATGTATCAATATTGTTTATATTTTAAGTTATAACATGTTATAACCTTATATAACTTATTAACATTTACACACAGGATGCGCATATGTAGTCTATAATTAAGAACAGTAACTGTTTTTCTATCGAAAACATAACAATACATAACGATACGGGTACGGTATATGCGGGTACCATTTGTTCAACCTTGGTCCGCTTGATTGCATTTTGAACCATTACAGTTTTTGCCCTCCTTTGCGCTCTCGATAGCTTGCACCGCCGAACTCCTGGCACGGCTACATCCCTGGCGGCCCTTGAACCAGGATGAATCAGGATATGTTTTCTGACATAATCAAAAATCATCCAATGAAATTCTAATCGCTTCCACCACTGCAATTTTGATCACAAACACCATTCCCTTTCCCTATCTTCCCTTGAAAGTCTGAAGATCCATCCATCTCACTTCCCCCACATCCTTCGGTGCAGTATAAAGAAATGCTGCAGAGCCGCTGTCGTAACAGGTCCTTGGCATGTGGAACAGGCAGAAGGCAAACAAAAGATCTCCAATCAAATCCAACCAACATCAATAAGTCAATAAATTGTATGGCATATGTATATATAGAGTTTCCATTTTGATAGCCTGCTGCCAATCCTGCCATCTAAACATCTATCCGAATCATGAATTCAGGATTCAAACTCATGAAAATCAAGCAGAACATAGATTTCAAAATTTGACATAGATTCTGACATAGATGAAAATAGCACAAACCTTTACCCAGTGGGCCACTCCTTTCTTCAGTTCCACCGAGATCCACCAAGTTTCACGAAAAAAACACATCGCATTTTTGGGCCAAAGTGCTACCTTCGAGGAGCTCTCGTAGGCAATGGACAAAGCGCCAGCAGGTCTGTTGGGTGCTGGGGAAGAAGCGAGCGAACCTGGTCGTTTTGGCTGTTGGGATTCATTCAATTCACCAAAATGCATTCAAGAAAAGGCTAAAGGCAATGAATGGAATTAGCAAAATTTAGCAAACTTGGTAAACTTCACTTACTCCGACATGCCCAAACAGTCTTTCTGTCTGTTCTGCTCCCCGATCCCAAACAAGACCTTCGTCAAATATGATATCCCAACATTCCCAACATTCGCTCTCACTATGAGCAAGTTTCAGCCACGTGACATTCCAGCAATCTGATGATCAGTGGCATGGGAAAATTCTATGTGCAAATCGGCTCGGCCATTGCGAATCAACGCGGGATTCAGCCGATCACGGTGGTTGGTCGTGAGGACGAAAATTTGGCCTGCACAGGAGAAAGGTTCAAAGGGGTGAGCCTCTTGTGTGGTATACCGGTATACCTTTTCAATGTGATTCAATGCGAAACCAACAACAATTCAGAATCCAGAATTCTGGGACCCTATGGAAATCTATGGAAACCTATGGAATTCTCAGCCAATTCTGCCAAGTTCATCCATGGTTTTCCGCTTTACCAAACTTCGGGCGTTCGCACACCGGACACCTTCAGCTTTGCCGACGCCGTCCAAGGCGTTCAGGAGGCCTGGCAGCGGCGTGCCCACGGTTCTAGGCAGCATTGGATAGACCTATTACGAAAGTATATCTATATATATATATAATATACCCATATGCTCCATGGTGCTGGAATATTTACCAACATTTGCCATAAAAATCACCCAAATTAGGTAAATATAAATATAATTAAATATAACATACATGGAGCATATGGGATAGACATTGTCAAGTTTCTCATCATTATGGTATGTATATGCAATTGTATACTTTATTATCCTTCCAAGCCTCCGGTTCTTTTGATTCGCTATGAGCATCAGAGTCTGTCTGCAGATTTGTTCGAACTCCCAAATTGAGGAGACGTCAGAGACCTCCAACAGTTGGAACGGTACAAAACCGATTGTCCCAATATCCCTTCCATCGCCTGAAAATGTGAGGACGGAGTCAGTGAGAAGTTTCTCACGATCCTTCCCGAAAATGGCATCAATGTCTTCGAACACTAGTAACCTCGGTATATCAAGGTATGGCTCAGTGTGCTTTCATATCTGCTCCTAGTATCTCTTAGTTGCGCTTCAATGTAGCAGTAGTGACGTAGTGTGTGTGTGTGTGCATCCACAAGTCTCAAAAACAACTGACTCGACTGACTGCTGGCAAACCGGTACCCTCTGGTGAACTAACATAGCAATGGAAAATTGCCATTTATAGTGTATTTTCCCATGAAAAATGGTGATTTTCCATTGCTATGTTAGTTCACCAGAAGGTAAATCCCGCAAGAAAATCATCCAGCCCACTTTCATAGCAAACCAATGCAAATCGTGCATACAGTATCTACAGCGTATCTGCGAAGAATATCGATAAATCATGATACAGATACAGCATGATACAGCAAATCGTTAACATATTCTAACAGTCTTTGTTCGAGGGACGAATGGCGTGGTGCCTGGTTCACGGCAGCTCTCAGAGATTCATCCGTCAGATTTGGATGCGTCAAATGCAAATGGCCTCGGGCGATGGATTTGGGTATCAAAAATGGGCTGTCAATAGATGCGCAAAACTGCCCATTCTTGGTATGAAAATGTATATGAAACCATCCGTTTTTGTGGGGCAGCATTGTTTCTCGCACTTTTGAGAAATCTCGGGGCTCAGGCACAGGTTGTGCTTGAAATGGCCAGCGATTGCCTGTATGAGCCTGACACGACAAGCACTTTGAGCCGAACTTCGAATAATTAGAAACGACATCTATATATTGACTGACATATACAAGTAGAAATCTTCAGCAGAGTCTGGCAGTCCCAGTTGCGACGTCTTGCCAGATCCAGGAACTCCGTAGAAAAGGTAGCCCCTCTTGTGCTGAATGCCGTGCTCCTGGTGGAGTCCAAACGACTGCCAAGACATGCCAGGACCAGAAGCACCGTTTTGAGCAGGTCTTGAATCTCCCTCGAAGGCCTCACATGTCAGTGAGTATCAGTGAGTAATGTGAGTAACGTCTTGACAGGTTCTCGTCGGATCTCCTTGTACCACCGTCGGGTGTCTTCTCCAAGGAACTCCTCAATGTCACCCAACAGCCTCTCCTTGACTCCTCACAGTGCTGGAAGGGTGGTGCCAACGTGCCGATAATATCAACAACTCAAGAGATTCATCATGGCTCGTCATGACTCATCTGCCCCTCGGAAGCGCAAAACTGGACCAGGATGACTCAGGACTCAGCACCGCACTGATGACATGATATTGTGTGGCACATTGTGATACTATGATTTTGTCAGTCAGGAACATATTTTTTCCATCTGTTAATTTAAAAGAATACAATGAATACAAGAAATCAATGTGTCCATAGGGCCAAAAAAAGCCAATCAATGCTCCTTAGAAAAATGAAAACTTGCCCCTGGAGTCCTTCATCCAAGACCACGCTCTCGATCCGCCGTGCAGGGCAGACCACGCGCGCTTGCCAGAACTGCTGCGTCGGGTGCCATTCAAAGACGTTCACGAAACCCGCCTGAAACCACAGCTGTCCGTTGAAGTTAAATGTCTGCGGGTGTCTGCTTTTTGTTGACTTTCACAACTCCCAACTCCGCACTGTTCTAATGGATTTAGCTTCTAAAACTGACGAAATTCCGTGAAATCACTGAGTTGTTCATGTTTTTCGCGCAAAAACTTGGCGAACTTCATTGAGAAGGCTCCCAATGTGACTCGTCAAATCCCTTTCCTGAGTGCGCTCGCTTTCCTGCACGAGCTCCTGACAGAATTGCGCCAAGACCTGCTCAGGAAAGATCTTCACAGATTTTCATGCTTTTCCCATTTGAGACATCGTGATGACAGATCATGGCATATCAATACATATCATGTAAATTCGTGGTATCTCGAAATTTTAAGCACAAAACAATGCTGCTGTTCAAAGATGTCCAAAGGCTTTTCATAGTTCTTGCGACTCGATCTTGGAACGCCCACCTGAGATGTTTCTCGCTTGGTGAAGAGCACCTGGGGAAAAAAACAGCTGAATCAGCCACCCTCCCTGGAGCCTCCATCCTTGTATGAATGAAGGATGTGTATTTTGCAGAAGTTTAAAAAGGACAATAGCCACCGACCACCGAAACGCACTATAGTTTGTGTCTGCATTGCAAGAGATAGACTATTACGAGTCATTATATAACTATTATGTACATTAGTACTGTCAATTGTTGTTACTATTAACATCATCATCATCATCATTATTATTACTGCTACTAGTATTGCGACATCATTGTTATTATGTCTTTAACACAGTGTCTATCTATCACAACACGCACAAAGTCATAGCCCTGCTGAGGGACCAAGTTTGTGTAGAGCTCTGCTGCGTTGCTCACTCCCACTGGCTCACCCAACGTCTGGTGCAATGCGCTGAGACGATGGTTTCGCCACTCAAATTCAAAGAAGCCAAGGCCGATGGTGGTCCTGAGGGAAAACTGTTCAAAATTGTTCAATTTTGTAATCACAACTTGAATCCATAGACAGATCATGACAATTGAAGCAAGTAAACCGGCAAGCATCGGGCAAGGCGTTTCCGAAACATGCTCACCGTCCACCAAATCTCCAGACAGCAGCTCTGGGCTGTATCTGAAAGATTGAACCTTGGCAGTACATGGCAGTACATGGCAACAGCATTTTCCAGACTCGAGGACGGCTTTATCAGATTCAGCTCCTTCCTTTCATTCCTTACGCTGTTGCTACAAATTGCTGCAACACCCTGAGATGTATACGGACTTTTGTCGGGCAATGTAGCCGCATGCCAAGGAGTAAATTCGTGACTTCTGCCGCAGTTCCAGGTAGGCATTTTGCTTCAGGTCCTCGAAACACACGGGATTTTCAAATTTTCTCACGCCATCAAAATCAGAACAACCAGGCAACCAGGATACAAAAGCAACAATCAAATCGCACCATTGTGAGGCACTTCACCCAAAGCCTTTCTACGGGAAGAGTCTGAAACCAATTTGATCTGAACACTGAACTGGAATCCCGCAGTATGGTATGCCTCGCGGGACTCAAGCCATCGACTCAATTCTGCTCCGGAATGCCCAAAATGAACAGCGACTGAGGCTCCAAATAGCCTTCCAAGGCCGATGCATCGAAGGGCGCAAGTTGATTCTGCAAGGTTTGCAGCCGAGCAAACGCCCGGTGTGCCATGGCGCGGCGGGGCCACTTGAGAATGCGATTTCTGATGATTTTCATTCGAGGCTTGTCCGTTGATCTGTACATTTCACGGATATGGATTTTTTGGGGCTCTGTGGCAAGAATGTAGCAACACTGAGAAGTCTGACTGCAACAAAGATTGGCAGGAGAATCTGGATTAAGAAACACCACGCATCAGATCGTTCATGGGTATCTAGATGTATCTAGGAACCGCATGGAACCACTCTAGCCCCATTAAAGTTCGTCTTTTCACATTGGCAATAACAATTCACCATATAATTCGCTGTGGTATGACCATCTCCTACTCCAACTTTGGACCATGGACGCACCCGGCGCAGGCCCACGGCCCACGGCCTGAATCGACATGGCCAATGGCCTCAATGAACAAAGTGGATTGGCGGACGCAACGAGTTGTAACATGTTGTAACGGATGTGGGAGGACTGGTGGAGGATGGATAACAATGACAAATACCCTCTGGTTATTTAACATAGCCATGGTATAGATGGCCCATAGAAATAGATGGTTTACCTATTAAAAATTGTGATTTTCCATGGCTATGTTAAAAAACCAGATGGTATATACAAATATGGCAATGGATAAGACTCGACACAAAGTTTTGAGATCTCAATATTTTTCCCATGGTTCCATGTGTGCCATGGTCAAATAAATCCCCATTGATCCACAACCATCCCTCAATAGTGGCAATTTACGTCTTGACCATGGCACCTATGACTCATGTCCCAAAATTCTCTTTGAAAAATCCATTGCCGCCTAGGCCTTGTTGTGGATATCTGTGGATATGTCACTGTTTGCCATGTTTGTCTTTGTGTCACCAAAAGGCATGCCTCCGGAATCCCTGCGGCTCCGACACAACGCTTGACCTTTTTCGCCACCACCAGGACCACCAGCTCATCACAGGGTGGTGTCCGGCCTCTGGGGGGGGGCACTTCCCTTAAGGCAACGCCCGGAACTTCCAAACTGATGAAGTCACCATGAGTCGCGACCGTGAAGTCACCATGAATATTGAGACTAGCTACTGATTCACAGCCAGTTGCTACTGAGTTACTGTCCACATCTGTCCACAAAGATCATGAGACATGTTCTGTTTGCTCAAGTTGGAACGCTTTCGGAATAAGAGAAAATCCTTCCTGGGCATCTTTGAAGGCTTCGGCTTCTGCATGCGGGGAACCTGGACCCCTGGCACGAACGCTCAGGTTTTACCAAGACAGCTCTGGAATGCTCTGAAGATGTTTTGACAAGTCTTTTAGACACAAACCTCAGATATTGTTGGACCTTTTCCCAAACCAGTTCAATTTACTTATGACGGGTTCTGTGCAAGCCCACAAGCCCAAGAGCCACCCAAACTAGAGACAAATCTCTGTTTCTCCCGGGGGCCCCTTGCCGGGAACATCCAGCATCACCTTCATCTTGTTGGTTTGTGGCTCCTTCCTGCGGCGCTCCCTGAGTGGAGGCAGCGCTCACAAAGGTCCCAAACACATACCGTGGTTCGGAGCCCGCCCCCTTTTCGGGAACGCGGCCCCTATACATAGGAAACGCCCGTCTGTTGCACCTCTGTGCTGTTTTTTGGCGTCCGCATTGCCTTTTCTTTCCTTCTTCTCTGATGGAGAGGGCCTCCTTGCGGTCCCCGCACAGTGGCATCCCCCGATCAAAGAAGAAGCAAAGTTAAGGCAACAGGGACGCCAAAAAGCAGCACAGGGGTGCACCGCACCCACGGATTCGGTGATCTTAGCTCGACAGCCGACAGCTGTCAATCGAGGCCAAACTCCAATGGACTTCAGAAGTCTTCAGAAGTCCCCCCGAGTCCCCTACCCTTCGACCAAGCTCACCGTGCGCCAGCCTGGGTCAGTGCTCAGACAAGAGCTGATCACATGAAGATCATGTCATGAAGATGTTGCAAAACCTCAGGTGAAGCGTGATTCTAAGCAGGAGGTGTTGAAAAATCTCAGCTTGAAAAGTGTTGGAGATGGCAACGCGCATCACAAGTGACACGAAATCCGGCTCTGCAGCACGCAGCTCTTTTTTCAGACATCCTGCCGTTTGGCAGTCGTCGTGCTTTGCCAATGCGATTGAAAAATCTGTGTATCACATGCATCAGAGTGAAACCACATTTATAACATATCTATAATTACCATCATCAAAGTTCATTTGTAAAAGGTGAAGCTTTCACCTTGAATTCCTGGAAATCGCAGAGGTTTTGAAAGTTCCGATTGATTGCTGTTCCCTTGAAGCTTCCTTTGAAGCTGCGAAGGGAAGAAGGCAAGTTCTCCTGCAGTTGAGAAATACCTGGGCTGTGAAGTCGAACGCAGCCAGCGAAGTGGAGCTCCAACTCAACGAGGTTCGACTTGTGAAGCGCAGTGGCCAACAAGCGAAGCCCTGCAGCGATCAACCCAGAGTGCTTCGTAAATGGGCCAGTGGTCCACAGCATGTAACCGTTATAACCCACTGAAATGCAATGCCTTTGAGGTGCTTCGAAGTGTGTCAATGAGTGCCCGATATCAATAATATAATAATATATATATATCAATCAATATAACTGTGACATACTGTGACATCTCAGCTAACACATGTCACAAAGCTATACAAAGCCCATAACCCAGAGTAAATCGGTTGGCATTCTCCTTCGAATGGATCCCCAGTGGATCCCCGAGTCCCATCCCAGAGACCTGCATCAGTCAGGTTCTTGCAACCAACGAAGTCCAGATGTAGGTGCTTCAGCTTCAACTGCACCAGTCGTGCCGTCAAAGCTTGGAGAGATACATCTGTGATCCGAACACAACCTTCGAAACTCAGCTTCAAATTCACCAAGCACGGTGGCAAAGACTCCGCCAGTGCTTTCACTACAGAATCTGAGCACGACTCGTCGAAGTGTGCCAAACTGAGATCCAAGGATTCTCGGGAAGTGTCTTTCAATAAAGCATCGCAGACGTTCAACTTGCCGGACTGTAAACCTTTGGCATGCTTCGGCAAGAGGTTCTTGTGCACGGCTTGAGGCCATGCCAGGATTGCCAGAGTCGAATGCAAAGTCTGATTTGCACGATCTAAATTCCGATGCAATCTTTCTTGCCCTTCTGCTGACTCCAACTCTTTGCTTTGGGCAATGGCCTGGAAGATGTTGGTCCTGTCACGCTCCTGGGTCGTGTTGCCTGGACGAAGCGACTTCCACTCTTGGCACTTCACTACACTCAAAACATCTCAAAGCTGCCAAATCATTGCAAAGTGGGAATGCTTCAAATTCGAACAAACACGCAACCAGAGTCTTTGGAGATCAAGAAACATCAGTTGTGTTGCGAAATGCCAAGAAATCCAGCAGAAACACACAAAACCGCCTCTCCGAAACTGCCCAAACTCCTGGCCTTTCTCCAAACAGACTTCCAGGCCTCGATCCAGCAGAAAGATGGGGAAGTCCTGTTCCCTGGCAGATTTCGCCACGGCCGACTCCCCTGGAACCAAATTTTTGGTGATGATCTTGGCTTCCTGTCGTCCATGCATGAGGCTTACTGCGAGATCCAGCTCCATGTTGGGGTTCATGACAGCCGAATAGAGCTCGTAATCGCACCAAATCCTGGTGGTTTCAGGACGCGGCAAAACTTATAGGCATACTCATACCATCTTATCTGGTTGCTGGTTGACCTACCCCTCTGAAAAAATATTAGTCTGTTGGGATCATTATTCAAAAATAAAAAAATGTTCCAGACCACCAACCAGTTATAGAATCTTTTACAATCTTATGCAGAAGTACCAACAGTTTTCACATGACTTGCATGGCAAATATGGCAATGCAGGGGTGAAGGAAGTTCTGGTCACAGGTCCTGGAGAAAGGCGTAGCATCCTCATCCAGGATGAGCAACAGACCTCTTGATACCTTAAGGGCTGAGAAGAAGGACGTCTGGATCACATCCTTGGCCAGGGATGACGTCGGATGTCCCGTATACCTTTTCCGTGACATACCCAATGTTCCCATCTTTCAAGGGGAATCCCTAGAGGGAAACCATGAGAGAACACTGGAATTTGAACAGATTGAAAGAAAATTGAACAAACCATGGCTGGCACATGTGGGCACCCTACAAAGTCCTCTGCGATCTCCAGGTCAAGTTCGTGTTGACGATTGGCATACCCACCTGAATCAACAAGAGATCTTCGCGATGGGAATGCTCACACTCCTCTGGTTGTATCATTCATTGATCTTGTGTGAATATAATGGATGAAAATCTTTAAACATCGGCCAACAAAAAGAGGCCTCAAGGAAGAAAAATATCAAAACGGAAGAGAAGAAGGCAGGGCTGATTTAAAATGAGTCGAAAGAGAAAAAGCCTAGCAAAATCCAAAAAAGATAGTGGAGACTATTGAAAATGATATACTGGTGTCAACTTAGTAGAGAAAGTGCGCCGAAAACAATGGTTCAGTTTGATGATCGGTGAAAATGTTGAAAGAATAATCATTTACATATATGATAGTATATGTTGGCATGTGCACGTAAAATATAAACAAACAGTCCTCACAAAAAGTTCCAACACTTGCAATTTGTAAGACATCAACAAAGAGTTCCATGACAAAAACATCCAACGCGATTGTAGGCTCCAGAGGACAAACAACCAATGTGCCACAACAAAACAACAGCGCAACGTGATGTGAATCTATGATAATCTGCGTACATATTTAATATAATTCCAACATCAATACAAACCCATAAACACTGACCACAAGTGCTGTTCAGCCACAGACCCAATAGGAACCCAGGTCTCCCAGTCGTCTCAGAATGGCATGTTGTTGGCAGCAGTCCACGAAGGAACGAATCGGTTCGCCCCACCAATGGCTGCAGTACCACACTGGAAGACACGCCTCTGGCGAAAGCAGCTCCTGGTGACCCGGAAGTTGCGGGCAACTGCAACAAAAACGTCAGAGTTTTTCGAAGAAAACATGGTCTTTGCATAACACTTTGGAGTCTTTGGCTGTAGCATGACCTAGCCAAAGTGGTCGCTTTGTATCATGTGGTGAAGGGTTGTTTGATCAATTTGAGCTTTTTTCATTTTGGGCCCTTGTCCTTGTAGCTTATGGAATTTCGGGCTGTCACAGTCATCTCTCGTGCTGAGAGTTCAAACTCGCCCATCGACACGACTTCTTCGATGTTTCTGCTGAATTGTCCTGGCTTGAGAGATCCAGGGTATGGCTCGAAACGGACTTCTCAAGTGGATGGATTAAAAAAAAACCATAGGATCCATGGTGCTGCCATATATGGTGACATTATGTAACATTTACCATCAATATACCCCAAATGTTAGCATATATACCTGCACCATGGATCCTATGTCCATTGATACCCGAATTTTGACACAACCTGAAGAGTTTGTGCATGGCTTGGTGACTGGGCACGTTGGGGTGAAGCATTGAGAAGTCACAACACGTTCAATCACTTCAATCGACTGAAAAATTGTGATTTTATGGGATTCAACTGGGAAAAATGGTGATTTAATGAGATTAATGGTATTTAATGAGATCTTATAAATACATACTCATGGTTATATGAGACAAAACTAAAACGACAATCCGCAAAACAAGAATCACAAAAATCCCAAGAGCCAAACACATCCAAACCCTATGGCCCTATGGCCCTATGGCCCTATGGCCCTATGGACTGGTCCTTGAACCAATCGAACACATAGAGTTAGCGTGTCCATTCCGTTCTCACTGTCCCTTTCGCTGATGACTTGGATGACTTTGCCACTGGCCCTTGGAAGCTTCATCTGGGGGCATCTTTGAAACACTGTCGAGCCGATCGCTGGCACGTCCTTCACCAGCGAAGCCGGCCACTGAAGCAGCACGCCCTCTGGTGGAGCTGTTTGGGACAGGACATGGTGATAGTTGAACTGATAGAGGTTCAACGTGGCTACTGAAATCGCGGCACCTGTAAAGGCATCCGTCCATCCCCGACACCATCGATCTAACTCCTGGTCAATGATCTTCAGCTGTTCGAGGGTCATTGCTCGTTCGAATGTCTTTAGATTTGTGCGTTCATAGGTATGAATCGGCTCATCGCTGGATGATGAAACCGAGCTCTGCTTGGATTCTTGTCGTCTGCCTTGAGTGCCTTGACGAGCAATGGCAGAGGCCTGGCGATTGAAATTACTTTGCTGTGCAAAGCGGCTGTCGCTCTCACCCCAAAGGCTCTTCCTCTCCACTGTCTGTTGCACAGTTGCCAAGTCGCCAATGGCTCTATGCATCAAGGTTTTCATCTGTAGAAGTGCACTATGCATCCATTCCTGTTTCATTGGAACCCCTGAAATGATGTGGGCAAAATGGCCGGGTAGATACGATAAATGTCTGGAAAAAGGTGCAAGATTACAATGTTAATGGGTTTGCCTAGGAAAAGCACCGAGGTTAGAACATATTTTGCAGACTATACCCTCAGAGTGGAGTTTGTGATTGGGTCTACCACAAAACTGGATAGATTCCGGCGTTCAATCAGTCCGCCTGCTCCATTTGCATTCGCACCATGTCAACCGCAGTGGCCCCACCGCGCAAACGCAAACAGCCCAACAAAAAGTCAGACTCTTCGATTGCACCCGTCTTTTCCGATGCCAAAATCTGGAAAACTTTCACTGCATCCGACATATCCAGTTCTAAGGCATTGAGGAACGCATGCATTCTCTCATCATCCAAGGCTAGCTGGAACTCGGCCCAGGAAATTGCACCATTGCCGTTCTGATCAAAGTCCTTGAAAATCGTGTACAACTGGCGAACTAAACGCTCGTTGTAATCGATTTCGTTGTCGATCAAAACATCTCGTTCCCTCTTGCTGACTGTGCTTTGCAGGCTGCAAATGAAGCTGGTGATGGTGTTCACCAACCTGGAACGCCATAAAATGACGACTTAGCGGATCGAAACCAACAGCGAACGGGGAAAGTTGTGGCACAAGGTACTGTACCCCAAATTGGTGGCCGAGTATGGGGAATATTTGATATACTGTATTTGGGGCTGTTTCAGTGCAGCACCACTCACCCACAACACGGTTTTCGTAAAGAAACTCCTTCATTGCGGGTTAAAAGAAACAATATGGACAAAAAGATACAAAAAGAACATGTACTAAACTGTACTAACATCGATTCCAGGAACACCATGAGCGCAAATACAACATATGACAAGAAAACGATCCGGACGTACCACGCCATTTCTTGCAGTTCATCCCAAAGCTCACCCCACAGCAGTCCGCTGTAAATGATTTGATACAAGGTCATTTGGGAGGAGAGCAAGTCACCAAATTTCCTACACACCAGTGGCGTTTGGTCATTTGGGCAACTGTCCCAAATACTTTCCGTCAAAACCAAACCATAGACATAGATGAAGATGAGCACCAGTAGCACGAGCCATACCATGACCTTGAAGCTTTCAGCCATGGACGTGAGCAAGACACGTAGCTGTCGAAGTTGTGTCCATCTGGCCAAGGCGCTTCTGAAAGTCCACAAGCACCTTCAATTCACCAAAGTGACGAAAGTGACTTTGGTAAAATGCCAATATTCAACCAGCCACACAGAACTATGAAACATGTCAAGCGTCAAGTCATAATCAAAATATGTTGAAATGTTGCATCCTTATGTGTCATTATGTGTCCCAAGATTCCTGGTTTAGAAGCTTCAAAACTTGTAGGCAGAAAGTCAAAGATTCTTCATGTCAGCACGTGTTTTTTTGCTTTCAACAAAGTTCCATTCATCAACGGAGCCCTTCTCGAAATTCTCGCCTGGCAAGTCGCATGATCCGTCCAACACGTATCATGGCCGAAAGATTGCCAAGAGATCTGGAGCCTTCCAGCAAGGCCGCCAAGAGCATTGACAATGAAAGTGAGTCCACGAGGTTCCACCAACGACGGCTTCCTGCCGAGAAAACTGGCAAAGAAAGGTCATCTCTCAAGATTTTATTTGCATAAACAGATGATGACATATGATGACATATGATGACATATGCATATACACATACAAGAATCATACAAGCATGTCGTAGAGTATGCACACATACACGTATTCGTATACATATGTAAATGCTAAATGCATGCTTGTGTGTGTGTATCGCATGTATGCGTGTACTTCACATCTGCTTGTTGGAGTTTAAGACCTTGCCTAACACCGGACCAAACCAAAGAAAACCCCATGCAGCATCAAAACCTTGAGGATCCTGGAGGCATGCTTTAATCAGGATTGACTGACCCAATTCATACACATATATAACTTATGTATAACTTGTATAAGATCTATATTGAATCTAATGACACTGTCTTGGCCGAAAAAAAGACCCAGATCCTGTGAAAAATCGTTTGCGCTCCATGCAGATGCGAATCAGCAAATCCACTGAGAAGAATGCGCAAAATGCGGTCTCCAAGGTCCACGCCCATGTTGGCTCTGAACGACTCATGCTGGTGTGATGAATTTCCACACCCAAGCAGACAGCATAGATCACAACCAGCAAATCAACCGCATATTCGTAGAGTCCAAGGCTTTGCTCTAAGGCCTGTTTCCACTTTCCACTTTCCCATAAGGGTAACGCACTCACAAATGAAGCCTGTGGATGATTGAAGATGTTCTTCTCATTGTCGGCCTTCACCCGATCTATGAGTTGGAGCAAATGAGGGGCTACACCAGCCCTGAGGCCCAACTGATCATCTGGCGAAGGGCCCGAGCCCACATTTTGAAAGGTGGAAGCTCTCGGAGGTTTCGCTTCCGGTTCTCGTTGCGAATGTTCCGAGTGTTCCAACAATCTCATCAGCTGCTCCATCCGATGATCGAAATGATTCTTGATGCGCATCTCTTGCTCCAACAGCAAAGGTCTCAAAGCATCCAATTGAAAGGGGTCCAAATCGACATCTCCCCGCGACTCGGTGAAAAACATCCGAGGTTTTGTGGACATGGCACCGACAAAAACCAGACGTTTTAAAGTGCCGGGCCTTGAAAAACCAACCTATCTGGACCTATCTGCAATACTGATCTCGAGATTTTGAACCAGACCGCCCAAGAACAGTTGATTGACTGTACTTCGGCATGGTAGCCATGGCACACACCCATGAACACCTCCAGCCTACTCATTTTTTTCGAATGTGGTGTCAAACTACCAAAAGACCTTGGGATACTGGGGTCCCTGACGCTTGCAAAAGGAATTGCTCGTCCTGGCCACAGAGGCATGGCTGGTGCAAGAAAGAGCTGCGAATCTTTTTTGGGGGTCCAGAAGGCGCTGATGGGAATAATATGAAATGATATTATGAAGGCTTCACCGAATTGGATCATGTTGGATCATGGCCATCATGCCCTCAGTCCATCTGCAACATAAACAGTTTTGAAAAAAAAAGCCATGCAAACGCAAGCTCAAGCCCGTGCCTCTGGGATACGAACCTGGCGAAGCTTTCAGCTTTCCATGTCTCAACTTGTCCAAAAAAAAACGTGTCTTCCAGTTGGCAAGGCCATACACCTCAAAAATTAATCACGTGACGGGTATTGACCGGTTTTTGAAAAACACTGCTGAGGTTTATGACCTTGCTGGTCCCACCGCTCCACTTCCCCCCAGCAAGTTGAGAGCCTCAAAGGGCTGACAGCAATGATGAGAAGTTCGCCTTTGACACAGATTGGAAAACAAACCACCCCGCCGAAAGCTGAGGCTGCTCGTTTAGGATGCCTAATTGCCAAGCAAGCAAATGTACATGAGGAAGGTAAGACATGCAAAAGTCAAGGGTTTTCGCTGTGAGATCCCTGCATCCGGTGATTCTTGACATCATTTGACATTCCAGAACAAGCACAATGGCTGGCCCTGATTTAGGTTTCTGCCATAGCTTCCATGACTTGCAAAGAGATCTCTTCCACGCGTTAATCTGGGTGTCATGCGGAGACCAAGGCAGGCCCGATTTCGTCGCTACTGCCAAGGCACAAAAAAATCAGATCATTGCTTGGATCAATTCACAGCCGAAACACAGAGAGAGAGAGAGAGATGGTAAAAAATTCCGAGAAATGAGTGTCATTCAACATGTTGCTAGTCAACACGTTTGAATATTACCCAAATCCGGGAGTTGGTTTGGGTTGCGAACATCGCCTATTTGCAAGCTGCATCCTTCTTGCATTACAAAATTCAAAGCTGCTCAATTCAGGTGATCCAGCTCCAGTATGTTCTGGCTCGACCAACAATGATCGTGCCATGAAAGGGTGTCGCCTGAATAGTCACCCGGGCGCTGCAGAAAGCTTCAGCGAAGGCCAGATTGACTCAGGATCAACTTGATATGCAGCGCCTTGTTAGAGCGGGTCGAACCCAAGAGAAAGCAATATAGGGGCCACTATAAACAAGTGAAAAATGAATGAACTTCATGAACATGTCGGGCAAACTTGACTGCTTGAAAACCCTTCTGCTGAGTTGCATTGGTGTCGTTCCATCATAGCTGTCAGCAATAGCCGCACATCAGCCCACAGGCAGCGGCCAACCCATAAAGCTATCACAGTTTTAACAAAAACATAGAAAAACAAGCAAATTGCAATACCCTCTGGTAATTTAACAGTTTGCTATTGAACATGGCCATTGAAATAGTGGATGTTTTCCCATGAAATTCATGGTGGTTTTCTATTGATCTTTCCCATCAGTTTTTTGTAAACGTTGACCGGGCACTTTGCAATCCCCACTGCAGCTGCCAGAGTCTGGACCCACAAAAAATTACCCGCCTGAGACTGAGAAAAATACTGCAGGGACGGTGATGTGATATGACTGGTACATATACTGGTATACATATATATATATACGGTAATAGTAATCATAAATATTAAAGGTGACAACAACAACAACAACAACAACAACAACAACAGCAGAGCAAGCGGGCGACATTCTGGGCAACAACAGCAACCCTTGGGGCATCGCCAGGATGCGAAGCCCTACAATAATTGATGCTATAGTGAAAAAATGTGAAAAAGATGTTAGTGTGGCAATTCCGGTTGATGGGTGACACAGTGAAGGGGAAAAAAGATGGTTCCATGATGATATGTGGGAAATACTTATTAAGCTATGGTGATGGGTGTGATGAAAATTTGATGACGAAAAAGGAAAGCGCTACAGCTACAACATGCTACAACTATCATAACATATCACGACTACTGGCAGAGTCTGTCAGACTGTCAGTTCCCGGTGTGTTCAAATGTTTCAGAACCCTTGCTTCCATGTTTGTATAATTATTCATATACTATAGACATCTATAGATCTATATAGAGAATCGGTATAAACACCTCCTTATTTGCCTGTTCATGCCTGTTCAATTCCACATTTCTGCCAGGTCTCCAGGGCTGCTTCAAATCCCTTCCCAGATGTCTTTTGCAGCGCCAACTGCTGGAGCCAAACCACGGACTGTGACCGTGCCACCGTGCCACCGTGCCACCGTGCCATGGGTCGCCTTCAAGCGAATCCCACAGGAAGTTCATGGAAATTCCAACACCTGAGGTACCAGTCTCAGCATGTCTCAGCTATTCATGTGCTATGCCTGCTATGCACTGCTATGCATTCATTTTCACAGACTGTCTGGAGGGATGCCAAAAAATGGAACATCTGCCAAGGCTCCATCCCTTTCCTCTGACAGAACCTTTCAGATCTCAGCCCTCAGAAAAGTGGAATGGTACCCAGGTGCCGCCTAAGCCTCAAAACTTCTCTGTACAGAACGTGAGGCCAGAAGGCCCGGATCTCGTGATGTCAAGGGGCTCTTGGACACGAGACCCGCGTCTCATTCGCAGAGCCAACGGCGCTGTTGACCCCGGGCGGAGTTTCTGGGGAAGGCTATTTTCGCTCTGCCAAGCCCTTCATCTTAGCCAAAACATGAGATCATTTTCCCCCAGGACTCCAGCTTCAAGGAGCTGAACACCGATATATCGTTGGGATTCGTTGGGCCGACATTGTCAACATCAGATTAGTAAACCTCTGGGCCTCTGGGATGTGTATTTGGGGGAGGCTCATTTTAGTAGCAAATGATCGCTCTTGGAGGATCACACCCCCAATCAACCAGGGTTTATTGGAGAATCCGGTGGCTTTACATGACTATCCAACCTCTGGGACACACAGCGTCCGTTTCAGAAATGCAATGCCTCACTCTGCTGGTGAGGATTTCAAATTCATACCCAGCTCTGGGTGCCAGGTGATCCAACCCCCGTCCTGAAATTTAAGCATCCTTTTCGTGAACTTGGAGCGTCCCCAACTTTGGATTCCACCTCTTTTTGGACGTCACATGACGTCGGTGGCTGGTACCTGCTGGCTGGGTCCATATTCAAATCCTGGGACCCCTTCAGGGGTGGCATATCACGCCCTGAACTGGAACTGGCGGACGACCCGATTCGAGGGAAATTCATGTAGACATTCATGCCACGAAGAAGCTCAGTGTATTCATTTGTATTCAGTGAGAAATGCCCTACTTCTGTTCTCAACACCTCATGTCTTTCAATTTGTGCTGACTCAATGACTTCTAAGAATTCATGAGAAACCGCTGCGACTCTGCTGCATTCCCAGGCTCTAAGTCGTTTTTTTTTTCATTCGAGACATTTGGAAGAAACATGCTGAAACATGCTGAAGCATGTTGAAACCACAAACGTATCAAATGCATCCACCAAAATGCACAACTCTAGTGTAGTCCCAGCGAACCAAAGCTGCAATCCTGTTCCAATCTAAAATTCAAACGGTAAACTGTCGCAGAGGAATCTGCATAAATTATAATAATTCACCGACCTGAAATAAGGTTATTTTAGGATAGTTACCCCTTACCAATTAATCATCGTGCCCTAATTTACCAACGGGTTGCCCTCGGAGAACCCGTGATTTTGGATGTTCCAGTTCCAGCATGTGGCGCCATGGCGTCACTGTATGTCACTGTCACAGTCATGTCTCACAGCAACGAGGCTCCAGGATGTCCAGTGCCGGCACTGGACATCGCGAGGCGTCACGGCGACCATATCCCTACGAAAAAAAAAATATTGATATTCATGGATATTCAGACATTCACCCCCTAATGTTGCTGGCTCCTCATATCGTGACTATCCTGACTCTTCCTGCCCTGTTCAGCTATCCAGCCCAATGTGTGGATGAATTGCCTCTAGCTGTTGCTTGCTAGACTCCCGCTTCGTGCTGACTGCATCTCGAATTTCCAGTCAAAACCTTCCAGCAAATTTGGCAGATACGTGATCAATTCATGCTGCTCCCACAACGACCCAGCTTTAGTCATCCTCAAATACATCAAACGCTCTTCGTAGATGTCCCATTCGTTTGTTCTCTTTGATGTTCCAGTTTAATCCGAAGCACCTGCCCAAATAAATCATATACCAGCTACGATCATAATATGTACATCCATCATCATCTATCCATAGTGAGACACACCATGTCACAACCTTCATCCCCATAGGGCTCCTGAGTTGACATGAGGAAAATATCCGTATTCCATCCCATTCTTCATAGCTATTCCGGTATTCCTATGTCAGTTTCTACGTTCAAAAAATTATAGAGAGCGTAACCAAATAGGGGATATACTAAAGTGAGCACAGAAAACAATCCTCGAGAAGTATATCGTAAATATACGGTAACTACATTTAAATATACAGATTTTTAAATATACGAACTGGATTTTAGACTACCTCCGGGAAAGTTTTCCGTAGCTCGCCTGGCCACTTGAAGATATAGGTTTTATGGAAGATTTATAGAGGATTTATGGAAGATTTTTACAGGATTCATGGAAGACTTATGGAGGATTTATGGAGGATTTGTGGAGGATGTATGGAGGATTTGGAGGATTTGTGGAGGATTTATGGAGGATTAGGTATGCCGAATACTAAACTAACACTATATAAGAGTTTGTAAAATCCTCACTATGTGATGGGATGTGTACACTTTAATTAAGGACTAACCCCTTACTAAACATCAGGACCCACCCACTCACAATCCCCATATTTTACCACCTACAGCCTATAGCCTATAGTACTTTACGAACTCCAGGGTAGGCTGAAAATTTCTTTGGAGGTCCTTAGCTAATGGTTCAACTGTGCTTGAATCGACATTTAGATATGCGGAACGGGCCCAGCCATTTAAACATACGGATGGAACTGGTGTTTCATACTACCTCCGGGGCCTCGCAGTCTGGCCCGCCCTCCACATATTTAAATGTCGTTACTATTCCGGTATTCCTATGTCAGCTTCTACTTTCCCCAAAAAAATCACCGAACCCATCCTCAAAAAATTATAGAGAGCGTAACCAAATAGGGGACATACTAAAGTGAGCCCCGAAAACAATCCTCAAGAAGTATATTGTAAATATAGAGGAAACATCTGTTTTGCGCGTAAATGGTGCCCCTAATTATATGACCCAACCTTCAGAAGGCGATTTCACCTAGTTTTTGCACATGGTTTCTCTTCAGAAACCAGGTCCCGGCCATGCCATGCCATGCCGAAATTGCCGGAAAGTCCCAGGTTCGTCCTAAACGACAGCTGCATTTTAAGCGCCGCCTCAGAGTTTGGAACACCAGTCCATCTGAACCACTTCACCTAAGGGAAGTGAAACGAACTGGGCGTGGCCAGGGTGAAATACCAACATTGCTAAATATAATTGATGATAATAAAAGTAATAATTAAAATAATAATGATAATAGTAATATATATATATATATATGCACATTATAGACATGTAAATGCATATGTATATATAATACCATATAAATTATATATACAGTATCTCTGTGTGTTTGATTGTCTGTGTATATCTAATATGAATTGGTTGGACCCCATGTTCTCATAAACCCACCGAGCCACTCATGATTTGCAAAAATTCGATGAAGCCCGCCGTCGGTGGCAAAGAATGGTGCCCCGTGCCGAAAATCGCGTGGTGGAAGATCGTCCGCAACTGATCCATGTGGGTATCCTGAGTGCCCACTCGCCTGGCTATGTCTCAAAATCCCTGTAGTTGTGTTCACATCTCACATCAAAACTGCATCTCGTGTTTTTTCTTGGGAAAAACATAATCATATGATCTTTGCGGTATTTTCACTTCACAGCTAAGTGTTATTGATCGTATTTCTGGATAGCGGCGTTGAGCGGAAAGCTCTTGCAGAGCATCTGGCGGATCTGGTCCAAGGTTAATCGCTGTGTGTTCTCCTGCGCCCGTGATCCCAGACGTGGTGAGGATTGGGCAGCACAAAAAAAAGCACAGGCATAATCCCATCACCCTAATATTCAACACCCCAATTGCATGGTCCAAATTATGTGGAAATTCATGGAAATTCCCTACTAAGCCATGGTTTCGTTAAAGGGGTGTTTAATATTAGGGGGAAAGGATTAGTTAAAAGATGTTAAAAGATGTTAAAAGCTATAGTTTTTTTAGGACTGATGTTTAAGGTCATCTAATGGATGCGTTCCACATAGATTGCATGAGCATAATGTACTGTGGTTCAATCGTCCAAATCAAGTCAACTAGATCAAGTATGATCAAGTCAAGCCAATTGAAACCCAAGAAATGCTGATACGGTTTTATAATGTTTTATATGATTCAACGAGGATTTTTACAGAGGGATAATCATGTGTCCTGTTGTTTTTTTCGGGATAATAATCCATATATTTACACGATGAATTACATGCTGGTCATGTGTAATGTCAACCCTGGATTAATAAAACCCTAGGCTGTTTAATTGGGGGGGGCACCATTTAAGTATTGGATTATGACTATTGGAGGAGTACCCCCCCCAAAAAAAAATAAACCATGGTTTAGTCTCATCCGGGGTTGACATTACCCTCTGGTTATGTCAAAATAGCTATTGAAAATGGCCATAGAAATAGTGAGTTTTCCCATGTTTTCCCATTAACAATGGTGATTTTCCATAGCTATGTTAGTTTACCAGAGGGTAAATCACTTTGCGATTGAAAAAAAAAACAAAACCGTCGAACCCTTGGCCGATCCCCAAGGGATCATCAAAGATCCAGCGCTCGGGCCAGCTGTCAATTCTCCCGTGAAAACCATGGGGAAAACATCCGAGTCATCGTTGGGAAAGTCCCAGAAATCTGGATTTGATGGTGAAATCTCCAGATGTTTGATGGTGAAAAAAAAACTCAAAAAAAAACACCAACATCTCCACGAATATCTCGTGAAACCATTAAAAAAATGCCCATGTTTGATAGTCAAATTAAGTCAAATTCCCCAAATCCACATCTTGGTGATAAGTTGTATCCCTAACTGATGGTGGCAAAGCATGCCATATGGTTCAACCGCAGGGGTCCAGTTAAGCACCTTGAAATTTGCAAAAGTGAATATTAACCAAAGGCATCCAAAGGCCTGTTGTCTGCTTAGCCCTCTTCAACCATGTCCAATCCCCTCGTGAGTTACATCAATAGTTGATTTTCCAGCTTCAAAGCTCCATTTCTTTCAGATGAAATTAAGCTATAGATGCTATAAAGATGCGATGCACAGTGGTCACATCCATTCCATCACCATAGGATCCATGTATGCTATATATGGTAACATTTATCATCAATATACCCCCTATGTTAGCATATATACCATACATGGATCCTATGGGATCACCATCACCCAGTTGGGCTCTCCTTGTCCGCCAAGATGAAGAGCTCGCGGAACTGGTTCGCCTCGGATGGCGAGAAGCCCAAGCGCTCGATGGCCAGGCGCTGTCGCACGAACCTCGGCGGCACAGTCTGGGCCCTGGGGGCCCTGGGGGCCCTGGACCGACCCCCTAAACCTGCCGGGAAAATGCTTGGAAAACCCAGGATTTATATGGTTTAAGATGGTTTAATGCTGTTTAATAAGGTTTAATAGGGTTTAATATTGCACCCAAATATTGAACCACCCAAAACCTGCCCTCACTGCCCTACGTGACCACGAAATGCCAGGACCTCACTTCAACTGCTGCAGCGTTGCTCGATCTGCTCTTGCTGATCCACGATCTTTCCTGGGCAGGGTTTCTGGCTGGTATTTAATCCCCATCTCTTGCGTGAATCCATGGTGATTAGTTGAACCGAATGCCAGGATGCCTCAATGTGGGGTTGGCATTCATGGTAATTATACAGGTTGCATCCCTAGCGAAATGATTAGCACGGCTATCCTTCAATAAAAAAGAAACGCCTCTGTAAAACAATGTCTTGTAGGTCTTTTAGGATAGTATGCATGCATTGCATTGCATTGTATATGCATAGGTGGAACAGGAATGTACTTCCCCTTGTGTCATACTCTCAGGTCTTGTCGTGCGCTGAAAGTGGCACAAATTGTGCGCTGAGCATCGCATGATCACCAAGAATTCGCTAAAGCCAAGTGAAAGCTCCTGGCAACTGGCGCTGACACTGAAACTCCAGCACGCACTCACCCAAATAAAACTGTTTCTGTTTCAAGATCATTTTACTTCATTTTATATGTTTTTAAAAGAATACGTCATTCTCTCCGTTTATTTCCACTGAGCATTGCCGTCTTGGTCTCTTCCTTCAGAGTGCGTGGTATGGGCGCCTTGCACACACGACACCAACGAGCCCGTCCCCGTCCTCGTCGGATTGGAGGATTTGCACCAGAAAGGGCCGAAATTCTCGACAACGCGCCTCTTGGGGGAACCTCAGTGCACCATGTCCACCATGTCCACCAGTCCCCGAGTTCTGTAGAGCCTTGTCCCATGCCCAAATTATCCTAAGTCAGTGGGGCATGGAATTTTGGCGTTTCGGGGTGTGGACAAAGCCACATGCCAAAACTTCATGTCCAATGTCTCAGAGATTTATCCCAGGATAGTTACTGAAACTAGGTGGAAACCTCGTTTTCGATGCTTGACCCCTCTACTATCCTCTACAGTATATCTCTCTATCGGGGGAATGGAGCCAACCAGATGGTCACCATCCACCAGCCAGCCGTCTAGTTCAAAATGATTTCCCCCAATCCTAACCATTCAGATCTCATCATCCGCATCCCCGGACCTTATTCAGAGTTCCGAACATTTCTTGACCCCACCCAAGCCCTATTTACATATAGGGTTTTAATTTTTTCACCGATCCACCCCTAGCCCTAGTGGGGTTTTTTCGTTGCCACTTTGCCCCCCAAATCAGACATGGTGCAAGACTTCAATGACCTGCACCAGTTCTGGTTTCCAAATCCTCCAATCCTGGTCCCGGTCGAAGCGCCGGAAGAGTTGCTGCAGCTCCTCCACTTCGTGGAAAGCGAAGCCCTACGACGGTGACGGTCAAGGAACGTCAAGGACACGGGGCGCGCAACGGGGAATGGGATGGGCAATTGGGGGTGTATAATGGTGTATATAGTCTTGACTAAGCAAAGGGACAAATATGGGACAAATGTGTAGGTCTTTTTGTTACAGGGTTTTTTCCCTAGATTTACGAATACGAGTAAACTGAGTAAACCATGCAAATCCGTTGTTTTGAATTCTGCGAGGATTGAATGAAATGGAAGAAAAACTATGAAGAATTTGGGGTTCGAGGAGCTGGAGGAACTTTGGGGGATATTGGAGGTGTATCAGGGGGCTGTTATGATGTTTTGTTCAAAAAATATGCGTGTATATTCTCATTCACTTACACCGTAGTACTAAGACAAAGTTCTTTAACATGGTTTGGGTATACAAACAAAGTTCCTTTTAAGGGCACAAGCGAACTTCAAAAAAAAAAGAGAGAAACGACAGCAAAGTTCTACACCAAGAGAAAGACTTGGGACACTCCTAGTCTGCAATTTCACAATTTTGGGCTGCCTCATCTGTGCTTTTTCGATTTCAAGCAATGTCTTCTCGCGCAATTTCACATTGCACGACTTCGACAAGTCTAAGCGACTTTGGGCAGGGTGGCAGTTGCCGACCGAGCCACGGCACAGTTTTTGATGAAGTTGAGAATCGCCCAGGAACTGACACATCCGCTCCAGAAAACATCCACATCATTGAGTCATTGAGATCATATGTAAGAATTCTTCTTTAAGAAAAATATGTGGATCTGCCAGTTCAGTTTCAAACATGTTTATGTAAACAAACAATTCAAAAGGTCAACCTTTGGGATGTGCACCTGGGAAACTCCCTAGGAGAAAGTGATTCCCCCAGCAGCCATCACCTTTGGTGTGACCGCGGTTTTGGGGAGCTGCATGGGAACGGTTGGGAGACCTGCTTGGACGAAACTGTCCCACGTTTCACCACAAAAACATGGCGGTTCTTGCCCTCTGGAGCCTCTGCCCCCCAAAAATCGCTGAGATTTACAGCTGAAAAACAACTGAAAACCCAATCTTAGTCAACCAATGAACCAATATTCTCGATCAAGAAAATGTACCAATGGGGCATCCAAGTCGGTCAATGATGCCACCCTGACCCAGCGGTAGCTCTTCCGGCGTCCTTCAGTAGAGCAATTCTGCAGACCATTCCTTGGTTTTGCAACGATCGGCCTCAAAAACGAAATCGGCCAAGTAGTTTCCCATGGATTCCTAACATATTACACACTCCGGTAATCAAACATGGCAATGAAAAATCCATGAAAATCCATGAAAATCCTCCAAAAAGGTAGAGGTTTTATTGGGAAGCTCATCTATGGGGGATTCTCCAATGCCACCATGGAGGTAAACGAAATTTGTTTCAACTCACCATCCATCTTCCGGAAATCCAGGATTCACTGTGTCCTTTTGGATGTTTGCGCCACTTGGACGCCAGGCGCAAGATCCTTCCTGCCAGGTTGAAAAGCAAACATCAAAAGGAACCATGCCATCCCATCACTACCCTGAAGCCTCACTAAACCAAGCTGGATTAATATAAAGGCTCCAGGAAAATCTCGAAAAAAAGATTAAAAAGATCCACAATTTCTCCATTTCCAACATGTTCCGATTTGAACGTCTAAGTTTCCTCCAGGCCATCCCTCCATTTCCCACCTCCCCCCACCTGTGGCCATGGCGCACGCCGAGTTCCACGTGCGCCGGTGCCCGGCTGCGGGCGCCTCGCGCTTCATCTGGCGCCCGTGGACAGCGTGGAACCATTGCAGGGTGGAGCCGTCGGACAGCGACACCTTGGACGGCCAAGGTTAGGGGCAACCCTGGCTATCCTATGGTGATACGTAGGGACATCTGATATGTATAGCATATATATATACATATATATATATATACATAGATATATATATATATATACATATACATATATATATATATATACATATTAACATATATACATATACACCATAGCAACCCCCAAGATAGAAAGGTAAAATCACCTATTCGAAATGAGAGTGATAGATTGGACCGTTGTTGTCTTTTCGGGGCTTGCTTTTTTAGTGAGAATCGTATGGACTTTGACTTTCATGGATGTTCAGGGGGGATGCAATCAACAATATCATGCCTAATCTGAGAGGTCATGCCTGTTAGTATTTGATTTCCTCATGAGTTTTTTTCCCCTCCGCAGTCTCAGCAACGAGTCCTCATTAGTTATATGCTACTCATATATTATATATCCTCATCAGTCCCCACTGCGCCCCCAAAAAAAAAACAAAGAATCAAAGGATCAAAGTAGCCATCCAAGGTTGAGCCTGACTGTCAGACTGATCTTCATCCCCAAAAACTAATGTCTCAATATATTGACACATCGCCCTCTGAATTTTCCCCAGGCACCAGGACCTTCTGCTGATCCCCGGTGAGGCTCACAGCTGCCGCACCCTGAGGCATCGCCACCTGCGCCTCTAGGTGCCAGTCTTGGCCAAGGCCGTGCTGCATCAAGGCGTGCAGCTGCAGCTGGTCCCCCAGCAGCACGGCCGCGCGGAAGGGATGCCCCTCCGAAGCATCCAGCAGCGCCAGGGCAGTGGCCGAAGCGGCCGAGGGGATGCCTCCAAGGGGCCAAGGGATGGAGAGAGGCATGTTTTTTTTTGTATTTTTTCGTGTTCCATCTTGCATGAAGACTTGTGATAGGCCATTTTTACATGGCCATGGTTCGATGCTATTTGGCATGCGAAGTCACAAAGGCCTGATGAATCACATGGCAGACTCCGACCATGATAATGGCCCTCGTAAAACAAGAAATAACAAGGACAAGAACCGTCAAAACCCACCCCCAAATCCCACCTGGTAGCTCCAGTGCAGAGCACCGAGACTCTCGGCCGTCCCAGGGGCACGCCACCACTACCCCGGAGCCCGTGTGGCTCAGCAGCCGTTGCTGGCCCCAGCTGACACTACGCGCTAGGCCGAAATCCAGCAGGCCCTGGAAATTCACTGGGGACCAAGTGCCGAAGCCTTGCTCCTCAGCTTTTTCGTAAGGCAAGGGTAGCCAGGTGGGGCCTCGTAGCACGATAGCCAAGCTGGTTTAGTTGCTTTAGTTCCCGAGTTTGACTATGGTCTGTGGTAGATATATCGCACTAGTTCATGGGGTTTACAAGTCAAAAAGGGGAATAAAAGATTTGTGGTGGTGGTGGTGGGAGAGTCTGACTTGGTAAACACATGTACGCTCAATAATACAGCACCATTTGGGAATGACTTTCACCAGCCATTTATCGTTGACAACCTCCAAAGTTGACGGGTGGCGCTTTATTCCAATGACATTTTGACACTATGCCGATGCTCTTGACTTCCAAAAAATGTCCAGCATACCCAACACTTATATAAATTCCTCTGAGCCAGGGCACCGCGGCAGAGGCTGGTAGGAAGGCACCCATGCCTCCACGAGTCATGGCAATCGTGCCCTCAGGGCTGCAGGCCAACAACTCCGGCTCCAGGGATGGCGGGAAGTGCACAGCCGCTGGAACCACCTTGGTGACAGGAACCTGCCCAACCAGGCTCTGCGGAAAGAGTTTTGGAGTGTTAAACATCCATAAACATCCATAAACATCCATAGACATCCATAAACCATCCATAAATCATCCATAAACATCCTTTTAGAGTGCATGTGCCTTTTCTGTAACGAGACTTGAACATGGAAAATTCAGAAAACTGGTTGCTGGTTCCGCAACTTTCACCCATTTTCACGGTCCTGGATTTAATTCCCAAATACCAAAATGCAAGAAAACGGTTCATCTTTGAATCCCCTCCAAACAAAAAATGTACACAGAACACCCTGGTGCCCTTTCCAAGCCGCCGGTCGCACCGTGGTCACCACCTCCTGAAGACGCCGGTGTCCACCGCTGTCCAACCAGCTGTGCTCCCCAGTATAGCGGCGACCGTACTGAATGACCCCTTCGAACCAGGTGTTTTTGCCGTGCCCCGCTGCACCCACCAGAGGCTCTGGGCCTTCCTTGGCATATCTGAGAATTGAACCTGGCTCGCCTAAAGAATTCGGTGATTGAAAAGTTCAGATCCTTCGTTGCTGGGTCTGTTTATCCACCGGTATATCCTCGTTGTTACACATGTGCCGTTGAAATCCCTGAGATTTGCTTGAAAAAACATCCAGACTTTGCATCCCAGCATCCGCCTCGCTCCAATGCATGTCAGCCTCAGGGTGGAAGCCGAACATATCGCTGGCCCAAAGCTCCTGCCGTCTGCAGTTGAGAAAAAAAACAACCCACCTAGGTTAACTGTGGTTTATGGTAGATATCTCTATATGGAATTTAAATATATGATGTAGTATAGAACCAACTTTTCACTGAGGGGAGCACCACCTTATAGAGTCGATTGGGCATTGGCACTTTCAAAAAAACTATTTGAAGACGGGGAGTGTGACCCTTGTTGTGGTGCTAATATAAAAGACAGATTAATCACTAGTACAGATTAATACACTATAGGTTCTAACCTCGTTCTGCTGAAGTCACATGGTAGGCTTCAAAAACCAATATATATATATATATATACAGGGCACCCGCAGCTTGGGTAAGACATTTCGCGCTGACGCTGACGACACATTGTGACGACACATTGGCGATGCCCCCGGCCCCCCTGACGACGCATTCTGACGACACATTCCCTGACGACACGTTGCCCCCTGACGACGCATTACCCCCTGACGACGCATTGTGACGACACATTCCCTGACGACGCATTGCCCCCTGACGACACATTAACCCCTGACGACGCATTGTGACCACACCCGCAGCTTGGGTAAGACATTTCGCGCTGACGCTGACGACACATTGTGACGACACATTGGCGATGCCCCCGGCCCCCCTGACGACGCATTCTGACAACACATTCCCTGACGACACGTTGCCCCCTGACGACGCATTACCCCCTGACGACGCATTGTGACGACACATTCCCTGACGACGCATTGCCCCCTGACGACACTTTAACCCCTGACGACGCATTGTGACGACACATTCCCTGACGACGCATTGCCCCCTGACGACGCATTACCCCCTGACAACGCATTCTGACGACACATTCCCTGACGACGCATTGCCCCCTGACGACGCATTGCCCCCTGACGACGCGTTGTGACAACACATTCCCTGACGACGCATTACTCCCTGACGACGCATTACCCCCTGACGACGCATTGTGACGACGCATTCCCTGACGACGCATTGCCCCCTGACGACGCATTACCCGCTGACGACGCGATGTGACGACGCATTCCCTGACGACGCATTGCCCCCTGACGACGCATTACCCCCTGACGACGCATTGTGACGACACATTCCCTGACGACGCATTGCCCCCTGACGACACATTGCCCCCTGACGACGCATTGTGACGACACATTCCCTGACGACGCATTGCCCCCTGACGACGCATTACCCCCTGACGACGCATTGTGACGACACATTCCCTGACGACGCATTGCCCCCTGACGACGCATTGTGACGACACATTCCCTGACGACGCATTGCCCCCTGACAACGCATTACCCCCCTGACGACGCATTGTGTGTATATTATTATTTCCTGACGACACATTGCCTGTTGACAGGCTAGGCATGACGAGCAAGGGCGCAGGCGTACTGTATTCTTTGTATGTGGGAAGATAAATAGAGGAATGTAGAGAGGAAGAGGAGCCGGAGGGCAGATAGGGATTTGGCCTGACCACCAAGGCTAGTTCATGTCGAAATATAAAGCGTAGAGGTAATTATCAAGATCGTGTGGCGTGCTTTTGCAACCTCAGTTGAAGATCCTTGAGGCAAGGATCAATCATTAAGTTGAAGTAGTAGAACCTTCTTATCTTCTTACCAAACCCAAACGAAGAGAGCGCCGGAGTGTTCCAGGAGAAAGCTCAGGAAGTTCAATGAAAAAGTATTGAGCGTGTAGCATTGAGAACATGCGGGAGTTGAGCGCGTAACATCAAGAGCCTGCTGGAAGTTCCAAGGCTAAAAGATGCTAAAAGCATAGCACAGGAGGCTAGCATCAAGAGAACGCTGGCAGTTCCAAGAGGAAGTCAAGAGCGTAGCACCAAGAGCCTGTTGGAAGTTCCAAGAGAAACCTAAGCGAGCAATACCAAGAGAGCGTGTTGAAGGACCAAGAAAAACCTAAGAGTCTAGCATCCAGAACGTGTTGGAGGTCAGAGCGTAGCATCAAGCGAAGAACAAAAGAGCGTAGCAACTAGAGCGTCCTGGCGTGTTCCAGAACAAAGCTAAGAGCGTAGCAGGAAGAGCGTGACTTTCTCCAGACCGCAGCGTCAAGAGGCGGAGCGTAGCACCAACAAGAGCGCGTTGGAAGTTCCAAGAAAAATTATAAGAGCGTATCATCACGATTGTGGTGGACCGTAGCGTCAACAGCATCTTGGACTGTTCCAAGACGAGGTTCAGCGCTTAGCATCAAGAGAGTGTCAGAGCCGGAGCCAAAAACATTGGCCTGACCACCAAGGCTAGGTTATGTCGAAATATAAAGCGTAGAGGTAATTATCAAGATCGTGTTGCGTGCTTTTGCAACCTCAGTTGAAGATCCTTGAGGCAAGGATCAATCATTAAGTTGAAGTAGTAGAACCTTCTTATCTTCTTACCAAACCCAAACGAAGAGAGCGCCGGAGTGTTCCAGGAGAAAGCTCAGGAAGTTCAATGAAAAAGTATTGAGCGTGTAGCATTGAGAACATGCGGGAGTTGAGCGCGTAACATCAAGAGCCTGCTGGAAGTTCCAAGGCTAAAAGATGCTAAAAGCATAGCACAGGAGGCTAGCATCAAGAGAACGCTGGCAGTTCCAAGAGGAAGTCAAGAGCGTAGCACCAAGAGCCTGTTGGAAGTTCCAAGAGAAACCTAAGCGAGCAATACCAAGAGAGCGTGTTGAAGGACCAAGAAAAACCTAAGAGTCTAGCATCCAGAACGTGTTGGAGGTCAGAGCGTAGCATCAAGCGAAGAACAAAAGAGCGTAGCAACTAGAGCGTCCTGGCGTGTTCCAGAACAAAGCTAAGAGCGTAGCAGGAAGAGCGTGACTTTCTCCAGACCGCAGCGTCAAGAGGCGGAGCGTAGCACCAACAAGAGCGCGTTGGAAGTTCCAAGAAAAATTATAAGAGCGTATCATCACGATTGTGGTGGACCGTAGCGTCAACAGCATCTTGGACTGTTCCAAGACGAGGTTCAGCGCGTAGCATCAAGAGAGTGTCAGAGCCGGAGCCAAGAACGTAGCATCAAGAGCGTGTTTTAATTCAATGCGTCACAAAAAGAAGAAAAAATAGCGCGCCATGCTTCATGAGAAGCCAAGGGCGTAGCGTCAAGAGCGTGCTGGCACGTCCCAGGACAAGGCAAAGAGAAAGTGTTGGAAGATAAAACACACCAAGAGCGTGTTGGAAGTTCCAATGACAGCTAAGAGCGTAGCATCAAGAGCATAGCATTCAAGAGGCGACTGTCTCCAGAGCGTAGCGTCAAGGGCGTGCTGAAACGCCTCAGGTGAAGGCCAAGAGCGTAGCATCAAAAGAATTTTCAAAATCTCAAAGAGCAAGCCCAGAGGCTATAGCATCCAGAGCATTTCGTTTGTTACTCTTCCCTTTCGTTTTGTCTTCCCTTCTGTTCCCTACGTCGCTCCTTTCGTTTTAACTTCTGCTCCGTTCGTTACTTCCTCCCCATTGTTTCATCTTATTCGTTCACCTCTTTCTCTCATTTAAAGGCGTTCATTTCGCGAAGTCCGTCGTTTCGCTCAAATCTTCTGTCCTGTTCTTCCTGCTCTTCCTTTCCTGTCAACTCGTCCTTTTCATTGTGTCCGTCTTTTTGTTGCAACTCTTCCCTTCCATTCGTTGCTTCCTTCCTTTCGTTTCAACTCTTTGTAATCCCGTTCGCTGCTTCTTTCGTTTCAACTCTTCCCTTCTGTTCCCTATACGTCGTTCCTTCCGCTTTAAATCGGTTTAACTCTTCCCTTCCGTTCGCTACTTCCTCCCCCTCGTTTCAACGCTTCCATCCTGTTCATTTACCTCTTCCTTTCATGTCAATGCGTTCATGTCGCTATTTCCTTCCTTTTTTCAAGTCTTACATGCGGTTTGTTTATCTCTTCCTTTTTTCCAAGTCGTTCATTTCGTTACCTCCTTCGTTATAGTCATCATGATCGGTGTTGGGGTCCATAAACCAACCCTTCAAACCGTGACCATGGTTCCGCCAGTTCCTGGAACTGGGGGCCCAGTTCCTAACATGACAGGCCCTTGTAGGGAAAATATGCAAGTGAACCAAACAAAGACGTCCGTTATACGGTGAAAACCCACCATGGACAAAAAAAATGTCCCTACGGTTTGCCAAAATAAAAACTAGATGCATATATGACATGCATGTAGGCTTTGAGTGTATGCATGCTTTTCTCTCCCAAGTCGTTGGTGAAAAAGTCGTCTTCGGGGGGCAATTCGTCTTCGGGGAATTCGTCTTCGGGGGGGAATTCGTCTTCGAATTCGTCTTCGGGGAATTCGTCTTCGCAATTCGTCTTCGGGGGGGAATTCGTCTTCGGGGGGCAATTCGTCTTCGGGGAATTCGTCTTCGCAATTCGTCTTCGGGGGGGAATTCGTCTTCGGGGGCAATTCGTCTTCGGGGAATTCGTCTTCGCAATTCGTCTTCGGGGGGGAATTCGTCTTCGGGGGGCAATTCGTCTTCGTGGAATTCGTCTTCGCAATTCGTCTTCGGGGGGGAATTCGTCTTCGGGGGGCAATTCGTCTTCGGGGAATTCGTCTTCGTAATTCGTCTTCGGGTGGGAATTCGTCTTCGGGGGGCAATTTCTCTTCGGGGAATTCGTCTTCGGAATTCGTCTTCGGTCAATTCGGGTCTTCGGAATTCGTCTTCGTCGTCGTCGCAAATTCGTCGGGGGCGCAATTCGTCTTCGGGGAATAATTCGTCTTCGTCTGCGGGTGGAAATGTCTTACCCGCACAGCGGGCGCAATGTATATATATATCTGTGCGTGGGTATGTGCAAAAACTAGCTACTGTGGCAAACCAACAATAAATTTATCATTTGGGAATGATTTCAGGGGTACCACATGACACCCCTGAAAATCCCCATGACTTTGCCATCCGACCCGGATCTCCTGCTGGCCCTGAGGGCCCCAGCCCTTCTGCCAGGCGAAATGGCCCCGCATGGGCGTCACGTGCGCGTAGTGCTTCGAAGTGATGGGTCCAGCCTCCCAACCGTACCAGCGCCCAACCCGCGTCCATGGTGGAGCGCCTAGCGGACATGGCAGACATGGCGGGGCCTGCAGATGTTACCCTGCGACATATGCAGAGATGTGATTTCGACTGATTTCCAGAACATAAACTATCCACATACCAGACATACCACTATTTTCAGTGGGATTTTATACCTTTCTCTCTTTTTTTGGGGTGCATGGGGGTGCTATATGCTGAAACTGCCCAGGCAGTGAGTTTCTTTGTCAGAATCACTTCGCCTGGATTGGTCACCAGCATCCTCTCACCCATGGTGCATTCCACGATGCGCCCAGTCAGCAGGACGAACCACGAAATGGCTGTGACCAAGAGCAGGCTGCGCACGTAGTACCAAGGAGTCATGTCCACATTCACCATGGGATCTTCACTTAATCCTTCATGATCACGGGATCTTTGCTCCTGACACTTCAGAACCACTACACTCGGCCCAGTTTGGATTCTGACTTTTGGGTTTCAGAAGAAGTGCCTACAAATTTGGGCATCTGTGCGACCAGCTCGTCATTTTTGCATCGGTAGGACCTGGTGCACAAACATTAACATTAGTTATTAGTTCTTATTATATAACTGGGCGCCCAGAGAAAAATTGAACATCGCACCCGGAAAATTGTCTGTCTACTCTTTGATCAGGTTTGATGGCATCTTCATTCTTCAATTTTGTTTTGGATTTGGGACCCAAAAAAAAAACGGCATCGTTCTGCAGTTCAGCAAACGTGCGGTTCATCTGCCTTCTCCAATTGCGACTTGACCTTTGGGGGCGCCACCAGATAGCCTTGGGATGATCAGGATGCCAGTGGCGGAGCAAGGTCGGACTGTCCGATGTTTTTGCTGCGCTCCCACTGGGGGGTACTTTGGGGTCAAATTTTCCGGAGGAAGATGGGAAATGAAACCGGTAGGTTTGATCTGGTTTTTGGGGCGGTCTTACGTCGAAACTGGATTTCCTTTGCGTGTCTCAGGTCTCAATATTGCATCGGACGGAGACAAGAAAAGGCAGGACTGGGGTGTGTAAAAACTTGCAAAAAATGAACAGGAGACTTACCAACTGGCAGTGAAAACATGAAACCGAAGCTATGACCAGATTGCATTGTTAATCTATGAAGTGGAGGAACCACATGCCTAAGGATGCTCAACAACTGGATGAAACCCGAAATCGACAGCTATTCTCAACTGTACCCCCCAAAACAGTCTGAAGCGGGTCACCATTGGAAATCATGCCAACGAACAGTACCCCATGGTTGCTTTATAGAGTAGCTATCCAGTACCGTGTTTCAGAAAAGACATTTTCCCCAGCAATCCTGGTATTTTCCAACCATAAATCCAATGGCTTACCGTGGCTTCATCATGTTTCATCAACATACCCAGTGAAGCATCAAAAAATATTTTTAAAAAAACTCCATCCCATCCCATCCCATGAAACAATGGTTGGTTGACAGGTATCCCCTTGAAAAGGCCAATAATAATCTCCAATAAGCCAGCTACAGTAGAACCACCGTGGTTACCAGTAGTACCGCGCAAGGTGGTGGCGGAAGCTTCATAAATAGGAAACCTGTAGGAGAGGTTGGTTGTTGTGAATCACGGATGGCAGAGCGAATCCACTGATGGACTGAAAGGTGATTGATCTCTCTCACTCTTTCTCTCTCTTTTGCTCTCTTTCTCTCTCTTTCTCTCTCTTTCTCTGATTATCTACCTACCTACTACATGCCGATCTATCTATCTATCTATCTATCTATCTATCTATCTATCTATCTATCTATCTATCTATCTATTTATCTCTCTCTCTCTCTCTCCCTCTCTCTCTCTCTCATCTGTCTGTCTAACTATCTATCTATCTATCCATTTGTGTATCTATCTATCTATCTATCTATCTATCTATCTATCTATCTATCTATCTATCTATCCATCTATCCATCTATCCATCTATCCATCTATCCATCTATCCATCTATCCATCTATCCACCTATCCACCTATCCACCTATCCATCTATCCATCTATCCATCTATCTGTCCATCTATCCATCTATCCATCTATCCATCTACCTATCTACCCATCTATCCATCTATCCATCTATCCATCTATCCATCTATCCATCTATCCATGTATCCA